ATATCATACTTCCTTTCTTAAGTATATAAAAGTAGAATTACTATGCGAATTTTTTCTTTTTTTTAGTATAAAATATCACCATGATAATTGGAATCATGTTGGAAGATATTTTTTAAATTTATTTGTTTTATAAAATGAATAAACAACCGGAAATAATTCATAGTTTCACAATAATATGATTTCATCGTAATATTCAACTAATGAATGATAAATTAGAATTTTTTTTTTTTTTTCATTAATTTGTGGAATAATATAAGGACATTTGTCATGAATAAAATTGCATTGGAAATAAACAATGACATTTACATGATAAAAATAAAGTTATCGTCGTTATTTATTTTTTTTTTCAACAATTGATAAAAATTACTTCTAATATTAAATATTACACAAGTTCCATAAAGCAAAGTATCTAGTGTTATCTGAATTTATATATGCAAAAAAAAAAAACAAAACATTACAAATAAATATAAATCTTTTTTTAAGGAAATTAAATTTTATTACATAACATATTATCTTTTGATTTTATCATTATTAATTAATGACCATATAATTATTTTAACAACAGTGATTTTATGAATGAAACGAAAATTATTTCATTAATAATCAAACGATAATTTTTTTTTTTTTCTCATCATTTTTTTTCTCTGATTTTTTATTCAAATATAAATTAACACTAATTTCCCTGGTACACAAGATTAGTCACATAGTTAGCAATGAGATAAGCTTCATCTCGTATAAATAGAGAGTGACCGAGTGACCTAGGGATAAAAAAAAATAATAATAAAAGAAGTGTAAAGAACAACATAAATTTACGCAACTAGACTTCATTAGAGATTACACAATGAATTAAAAGTTTACTCGATCATTTTTTTGTAATTCTTCTTACCAGAGACAAAGAAAAAAACCAACCCAAGCTCCCACGAGCAGCCTTTCTACAAATAAATTAACACCAAAAAAAAAAAGTATTCTCCAGGTATTTTTCAATTTACCATTACTCTTAATTTAATGTTCATTATTTTCCAACCCTCATCCCTAGGGAAATTTCTAAAGTGAATTAAATAGACTCTAGTATCTAATAGTGTATGATACTTTAGCCGAAATAAAATAAGAGAAAGGTGAAATTTATCCACATTGAAGTATGTCTCGGTAAATATTTCTCATGCGGGTTTAATGTTGTAGTGGCCCTCTTACGCGTTCCTAAACCAATAATTCTCAATTGCTTAATTACAACACTCGCAACTAGGTACACACACATGTTTTTTTCCCGCGCATGACGCAACTACTCTGGAGTGCAGCTCGTTATTTTACATTCTAGAATCTAGAATACGTGACTTTGCCATACAGCCAACTGCTGATAAACTTGTACCTGTTCCTCCAAATGATAAGCCATTCTATTTAAAAATAACAATAATCATATTTATTTAGTTAATACATTTTTTTTTTTATTTAATCTAAAGTTTTTTATCAACTTGTACTGAGCAATCGGAGTTTTGTGCTGTTAACTCATTCATTGATTCTGTAATCAAAAGTCCTACTTGATGCTATTGACACTAATTAAACAATGATTCATACAAGATTAAGGGCACCTAATTATTATTATATTTTTTAATTGTTGATTTTCATGAGTTAATATCATCTTTAATATTATCCTTCACATTAATAGACTCTAATTTATTTGGTGGTATCAACAAAATTATTAGGATAATAATGGGAAAGTCAGTGTTCCGTTGTAATTTACACCGATCATCCAGCCGGTAAATTGTAAGGTATATGATTATAAAAGCGCATGGCTCGTGTGTACAATATTGTGTATTGGGCATCCGAAAAAGTTTTCTTTGAGAATAATATACAATTGACTTGTGGTTACGCCTCATCGAATTATTATATAGACGATATAATACGTACTTGATGTTTATATTCTCCCCTTCGATGATGATCAAAAACCCCTGGCTTTTTATATAAAAGACTTTATTCAAACTTGATCAACAGGTGTCAGAAATTACATAGAAAAAATTTATAATCAACTTGGAAATAATATTGAAGATAACAACACTAGATATCTTTTAACGATTGGTGTTTTAATCATAATTAATATTATGATTATGTTAAAAAAAAATTTTATTGATATGTAAATTCAATGATATAATTATAAACTCTTGTTACGACATTAATGTAATTATTAAACTGTTAATAATAATTATGAAGAAAAACTGTGGTAATTATGTTGATAAAATCGTACATTTCTTTATTGTGGATTTTATTGCTCAGCAATTAATGTTTTATTTCTTATGACATCAGAAATTTTCTGAGGTTTAGAATTAATTACAAACGTTTTGTCCACAAATGTATTTTGTTTTGTATTGAACATGATTTCAAACCATTCATAAAATAGGACATAAGGAAGAATACTAGAATACCAAAAAAAAATTTTACCCACAGATAAATAAACATTGTCTTTCATATGTTGGGTTATTTCAAATCGTTTCCGTATCTTTCAAACACCAAACATTCAACCAAAGAGCAAACACAGTGCACTTCAATAGTAATTTTATGTAACAAAAAAAAAAAAAACTAAATAGATTTTTCTTTATCGATAACATTCCATGAAAAAGTTGTAAAATATGTGTTAAGTTCTTGGAAAGTATTTTCTGGTGGTATAATAGAGTAAAAGCAAATACATTGCGACATTGGAGTGTGACAATAGATACATCCTAAATGCGTGAAGAATGCAAAAAAGTAGTTATTATCCAGGTTTAAATGGAACACCCACATTTACAATAGTCATGAGGGAGTTTGCAGCTTCCATATTAAATGCAAACGGTTGAGGATCGTGCCAGGAATTCTCTGGTCGAGCAACCAGTTGTTGGTTTGTATTTCCTACCGGCCATCTGTCCTTCTGCTTTAGTTGAGCACACGCGGTTTCATTCTACCTGGCTCTTCTGGTTCTCTTCACCTGGCCTTCCCTCCCTCACCAGCACGTACATCCATTACTCTCGTTTATCTTATTTTCCACCAGTAAGTATTCACGGACCAGCTACTGACTACAATCGCAAGCCGGCAGTTCACTAACACTCAACTTTACGACCGTCTTCATCCCATACAACTGATCTTTCTACAGATTGACATTTTTTTTGCTAACGATCTTACTTTAATCCAACAGCAGTTGCTTCAAGGATTATTGCTATGCATGAAAATTATTCGACGAGAAAATTGCTGATAATGAATATAAAGTTCAGGATCTAATATAATTTGTGGTAAAGTTGATAAAACTGGATTCATAAAAACATGACCAATTATCATTATTCAGTGGTTAAAAATAAAAGATTTAAAGGTTATATTTATTTACATAGAGAGATAAATAATATAATTAATCATAAAATGTTAATTGGAAATTATTAGTTTTATTGCAATTTATTTTAAATTATCAACTTTAATCAACTGAAATGTTATTAGAAAAATTAATTATTCAGAAAATTATTATTTACATGAATAACAATCAATTTAGAAATTATTATTGTCTTTGCAAAAATATTTTTAAAGATTTTTACATATTCCTAATGAAGTGACTATAAAATTGTTCATTAAACTTTTTTATTCTCTCAAAAAGGGTCTATCTATGGTATCCAGTTAAAATGACTCTTATATGCAAATCTATGTATTTAATAATTTATACAATATAAAAATTATTGTTTTAAATCTAAATCAGCAATGAATTTGAAAGTGATAAATAAAAGTGTGAAGAGTTAAAATCCTTGGAAAAAAAGTGAGCGAATTATAATACTAATTCATGTCAAAATAGAAAATTTACGATAATTTTTTGATCATTAACCTTTTTTTCAAAAAATTATTATTAATGTCCCGTCATTCTCACTCAATTAACCCGACTAATAACTATTTTCCGTCGACCCGCGCCAACAAAGATTCATAGCTGTTGCCGCCCATTTTGTTTTCCATACTTCAATCCACGTTATCGTGAATAATCAAGGTACAGAGATGAAAAAGAACCACCCTGAATAAACTACAAAATTTCGTTATCGAATAAGATAATTCCTCATACGCCCATATCATCCGTTGACTGCTAATTACAGTGATCCGTAATAGTCAGGGTCATTGGACTAGACACTACACTTCTAGCGAGAAAAATTCACGAGTTAAATATAAGTGTTACAATTGTCGTGGAAAATGGAGTTAAACTGCTTAAATATTCTCGAAATTCAATGTTTACATTGAGACTATGTTGAATCGATGAGTTGTAAAGATAAGAATACAGTCTACAAGCCCTTTATCATCAGACATATGTGTAGAAAACTTGGGGAAATTTTATAACGTTTGTACGTCTTTTGATACGTTCACTCTTGTCACGATCAAAGATTTTCGACAAAAGATAAAAAGATTTTCTTGACAATTTGTTAAAATAATTGTCTCTAATAAGCACATGAAACGTTGTAGATATAAGATTTGTTTAAACCATGGCAAGATAAGCCGATTTCATTGATTGAATTGTGTGATGCAATTTTTTTTTTTTTAATCAGATAAAATATGGTAGATAAGATGATTTTATAAAATAGATAATTACACCATAAAATAATTAGTAAATTTGAATATAACTATTGATAAGAATAGTTGAAAAAAAAAAATTTTAATTACTGTTAATATTTTAATTGTAAAGAAAACAATTTTATCTTTTACTAATGAAAATGATAAATATGCAAAATATCTTGATTTATTTACAACTGTTAGAGATGTAGATATTTCTGTTCGAATTTGCATTTCTATTCTTTCTCTACTAAGAATATTTTTTTGTTGTCTAAAAAAAATAAAATAAATACCAGTAAAGTTTATTATGGCAAGAGTAATTTCAATATAGAAATATAGAAGAATTAAAGTTTTTAATGATAAAGAAAAAATTTATATGTCATGGTAGTTAAGTTATTTTCTTTAGTATGCATAATAATTATTGCAATTAATCTTGAGTATGTAAAAACATTAAATTTACTTACCCTGACAGACAAGAAAAACAGCCAAAACCACAGCAATCCTTAGTGAATACATGTTGAGGCAAAAATCAGCCAAAAAACTGCAAAAAAAAGGAACCGTTCACGTTTTCTGATAGAGATGAAAGAACTCGAGAAATGCAGTTATGTAAAAAAAAATAAAACACCTGCACCGCACTGTTGAGATTTTCAAACCACTATGTTAATGTCTGCGGATGGATTAACACAAGTCTGTAAATATTTAAGGGATAATCCCACGAGAACTCTAACGTATAGATACTTGAGATATGTTATAAACGACCGATTAGAGGTAGAACTAAATACAAACTGAAAGACTTATACCGTATCTCCCTGTGAAGAGTAGAAGGAATCGCGCCTCCGGCTTTTTACGGGGACCTGCGCCAACCGGATGCGCATTCGATACCCGCGCACGCCACCCACACTCTCACCATTGCTACCACTCACTTGAACACAATAATATATTTTCTCCTTACACTTTTTTGCACTTGCTAAACACGACACTCATTCACTTTTTACGCAATTAATTTCACTTAAACAACACATACTCACGAAATGATTCATTTTTTTAATTAATACTCCGTTGTATTTATATTCATATAAATGGCTGATGAGCAAATGCAACATCAAATACATCATATTTGTTTTTACCGCTATGATTCATTAGCAAAAATATTTCCTTCTTTACACTCATTTACTTTTCATCATTTTGTCACGAGATGTTGCGTGATTCTGCCAAATTTATATCAAATTTACAAGAATGAAAATTTATGACGCCGACTAAGATGTGGTGCCTAAAGATAACAGGCGGGTTATGTTTGATCTTCATATCTGCCAGGTGAAATTCTTGACTTATCATATGTAACTTTTCAACGATAATTAAGATAAAAAAATTCTAAAATTGTTTACTTTATATTGCTTCAAATATCTTCTGTCATGATTAAAGTTGTATCTGCAGCAATAATTCAACCGGCTTCTAAATTTTTTTTTAAAAGGACGCTCTAACTGTTTATGCAAACAGCGCTCATCCGTCAAAAAGCAGTGAGAAGTTTTTTTACTAAAAAAAAATATATAAAAAATGATTTTATCGAAAGTTTGTCGGTAAAATAAAATTCTTTTTGTTGTATTGTAGGTATTACAGAAATTGTTAAATTTATCAAGCGCAGATGTCGCTAGTAGTATCGTATAATTTGAAAAAATGATCATGCGCAGATGCGTTTAGGAACACGAAAGGACAAAGGACGCCAGAGGCACGCAAGCAAACGACGCCATGTTCATTTGTCAAGACACGTTACGGCGTTCCGAACATTCGTGACTTTTCGCGACGTTCTCTCATCCTAAAACAAAGAAAGATCAAGTTTTAATATTAAAAAGTGACGAAAAATTTCTATTTCGATAATTTTAATATAATCATTTACATTATATTGTTTTAAATGGCTACAACAGAATCGAATAAACGTAAACGCGAGGAATATGAGATGCAATTATTTGGCTTTCACTCGAGAGCCGTTTATACGACTCGTAAGATGCCGATTTATGTTCTGCATATTTATTGATGGTTTCTTTTTTTCAGATATTCTTCAAAAAATATTCCATTTTGGTCGCTGGACGTGTGTGTTCTAGTTTCATGTGATGCTGGACCATGACTAGAATCACACTCGTCCATTGATTGAAATTATACTCATCAGTTTATATATTTTACTTGTAAATAAATTTTTTTTTATCCTTATTCCTCAATTATTTTTCCCAAGAATATTTATTTTTTAAAAATACAACAAATTCTATAACCTATGAATTGGAATTTTTTTCATAAAAATAATTAACATTTACAGTAAAGTCACTTATGCAAGAACGAATTTACAAGACATGTAAACAGCTGTGCGAAAGTATTCAAGGCAAATACAAATTGAATGATGAAAATACAAAAATATTAGAAAAAAGTCGCAGGAAATTGACAAGAGCCTATTATCTTGCATTGAAAACACACTTACCAGTTATAGAGGTTACTAACTTTTGACCTTTTATTACTTATTTATCATTTCACATTTCTTATTTTTATTTCTTACATAACCCAACAATGAAGTAGATACCACGATAAAAAGTTGTAATTTTTTTTTCATTATAGCGGTCTGCTAATGAACTCATGGACATACCTCAACATATTTTGCTGAAAGAAGATGCAGTTCAAGAGACTCAATATACTGCTGAGGAATACGAAACGATGAAAAAAAATCTTGAAGACCTACATCATAGAATTGAAGAAGTAAGCTTTTATTTAATGTTTTGAAAACATTTGATGAGATGTAATCAAGTTTTTCAATTATTCGTCAATTTATATGAAAAATAAAATGATTTTTTTTTTTTTAAGGACAAAATAACAATTCATTTATTAAATGAAGAGTTAGAAGAGTCAAAAGAATTTGAAAATAATTTACAAGTGGCAAAAACATTGTGTACTGTCATTGAAAAGAGTTCTAAATATCCTGAGTTAGATAACAGAATTGCAAGAATATTAGAAATTCAGGAACAATTAGATAAAAATAGTCCAGAAATTAACTCATCAAATAAGAAACGATGTTTAACATTACCAGCAAAAGAAGTTGATATCTACGATTTATAATTTCTTTTTATATATAACAATAGGTAATTTAAATTTTTGCACTAATATTTTTTTTATTATTAACAATTAATGTAAAAAAATTATTCAATTATTTTAAATAAATTTATAATTTATATTGAAATTTATGCTTTATTTTTTTGATTTAGAATTGAATCTATGAAGATGGAGAGATATTTGCCTTTTTCGTATTTATTGCTTCGAGTTCGACGAAATTTACCATAGACTAAATTCGCAGAAATTTTCGACTTCTTTGTTTACTTCAACTTCCTATGGGTATGCCCTGAAGTCACTTTGATTTTGAGTTTGTCAGTCCAGTATTATTAATTGGATCTTTCGATAAAAATTCTACGAACTCTAAGACGAAAGATAATTTCACTTCGTCTTCAATTTGACTTTGGTCTAAGGTAGCGGTCTATATTCTGTTTAGTTAATCTTTAGACTTCACACGAGATTCATCGACTCCTTCATTTATTCAAGTATTTTGTCAGTACAAATAGACATTTTTGAATTAAAATAAAGTTTTAAAGCCAAGTGAACTATGAATAATCAAGAACAAATTGATACAGACACAGAAGCAACTGCACAAGGTCAATGCCGAATATCAGTTCGTCTGTTAAATTTAATGGAAAAAACACATTATGAATTAGTTCAAGAAAATGGTCAACGTCGTTTAACTTCTCCAGAATTAACGAAAGAACGTCGTGAAAGAATAAAAGGAGCTGAAGTTTTTCTAGGACGGCTACCTCGAGATTGTTATGAAGATGAGTTGATGCCTGTTTTAGAGAAAGTTGGACATTTATTGGAGTTGAGATTGATGCTAGACTTCTCAGGATCTACTCGTGGCTATGCGTTTGCTCTTTACGAAGATGCTGTAACAGCAAAAAAAGCCTGTCAGTTGCTGGATGGCTATCAGCTGAGACCTGGACATAAGATAGGTGTTGTGAAATCAATCGATAATTGTAGACTCTTTTTTGGTGGAGTTCCCAAAGATAAAACAAAAGCTGAGTTTACTGAAGAACTAGGAAAAATTCTCGATGGAATCTCTGACATTTATCTATACCCCAATGCTCAGGATCATACTCAAAATAGAGGATTTATATTTGTGGAGTTTAAGGATCATCGTTCAGCTGCTATGGCAAGACGTAAACTCATTCCTGGACGAGTTGTACTATGGAATCATGAAATTGCTGTTGATTGGGCTGATCCAGAACCTGGAGATCCAATTGATGATGAAGTTATGGCTACTGTGAGTATTATCCAAATTTATTATTTTAAAATTTTATGTATCTCTTAATAATTTCAAATTTTATATACAGGTAACTGCTTTATTCGTAAGAAATCTACCTCTTGACTTACCTCATCAAAAAATACGAGATACTTTTCATAAAGCAACTGGAATACCAATTCTAAAACTAAAGAAGATCAATCATTTTGCTTTTGTACACTATGAAACTCGAGAACTAGCTGAAAAGGTTATCAACATAATGAATGGTGAGTAAAAACAAAATTTTAAATAAAATAGTAAATTACTAAATTTAATTACTTAACATATTATAGCACCCGGAGGAATAGCAGAACAACGCAATTGGGAAATTCGCTGGGCCAAACCAATAGGAGCAGCAAAGGTAGAAGAAAGACAACGTTCAATAAATGAAGCTATTGCCGCATCAAAAATGGGCGAACTTCAGAAAAAAAAGAATCCATCTACTAGTAATAGACGAATAAGGAAAAAAGGATCCAATCATGAACCACAAAGTCCTAATCATCAAGTTATGCTTTCGCCGGACTTAAATTTATCTCCAGTAAATCGTGCTATTATCCCGCCTCCTATCAGTCCTCCTCAACATAACATCCAACCTCCACTACAGCCATACAATTATCAAAGAATTCTAGAAGACTTTGTTTCTGAAAAATTATGTGCCAAATGTCAGATCAATTGTCATCAGCTCTATAGCCCTACGGCCTACGTATGCAAGGTGAGTATCCTATTGGCATGTAGAAAAACCATTACTGGTAAATGATGGATAATATTATTTAAATTTTATTTATAGATTACAATTTTCCGTGAAGATCATATCATTTATGATTACACAGGGAACATTTTTTTCTCTGAAGAGTTGGCAATTAATGTAACATCGAGAGATGTTTACTTTAAACTTACCAATAGTGTTGCAGAGCAACAAATGATTCCAATATATGTTTATCCACAAACTGCTCAACTCCAAAGCAGAATGGAAGCTTGTCATTAAGTATTGACTATTGGTTAATATTGATAATTTTTATCAATGGTTTTTCGTCATGTTATGGATAATAAGTTTAACTTTTCTGAATGTTCAGCAGCTTAATTCTTTTACATTGACATTATTTCTTATCTGTCTTGCCTTGTTTAGTTTTAATCATTGTTTATTCATTGGTTTATTTTTATTGCATTTATTTTTATTATTCATTTCATTTTATTATCTATCTATACAATCTTTAAAGATTAGTTATGGCATGAAAAAATTTTTTTCTTAAATTAAATTCATCACTTACAAAATTGAAAATTGATTATCTGAAAATAATGAATAATTAATTAAAAATTTGTAGTACAGTTCTCTATCATGAAATTTAACTCAAATGATTTTGTCAGTTAAATAATTTATCGTATAATATTGCTATAAATTATCATTCGAATAAAAATTAATAAATCATTGTTTCTGATTAATAATTAAATTAATTATAACATATTCAAATGAATTATGTAATCTTTAAGGATTGTATCAGTTTTTAAATATTTTTATCTGACTTTTTCTGAAAATTTGCATATAATTATTCAACTTGCATGCAGTTGATTACAAAATATGACTCTAATTTTATAAAAGAAATATTCAAGTGCACCATTATCATCAGTAATTCATTATTTAGTACTGTTGAAAAATTTTAATAATAATTTAAATATTTTCATTTATATATTAAATGTTAAAAAGTCTTATGTTTTAATATTTAAATTAATCAAAAATCAAAAAATATTAGTTTGATTAATCTTAAATTATCATATGAATTTAAAATATGCTTTGCTTATAAATTCTATAATGAAAAGAATTAATTATTTTTACACATTAATGTGTCATCAAAAGACATGAAGTTTGTCTTCTAATCATTGTTCAAAGTACAAAAATAAGTGGACATTAACGATTGTTCATAATCATTGTTTTTTGTATGCTAAAGACTTAATACATATTAAATGTTAATTAAAGAATTTTATATATGTATCTATCGTTGTTGTATATTTTACTAAATCATTTTGCTTCTATTACTGTTTTATTTGTAATTCTGATATTTGAGCTTAAGTACTATGCTTTGGTTGCTATAAATATCCTTACAATTGTAAATTAATCCGAGGATTTACGCCAACTTGTTGCCAGAGCTTTGGCATCGTGCGTGCGTACGTTTTCATCTTTACTATTTTTGTCGTGGACACAATTTACTATTACTTCAACAACAATCTTGCGACCCTTGATCCGATGGCTAATTAAGACCAACAAATACATGTATTACATATTCAATGAATCAGGCGTGAAAACTAGAGCATACTGACCCTGCCAACATATTCAATTTGAAATTCACACGTTATAAAACGCCTATTTTCATTTGCATTTTCACCGTTGAGTACTTCATTTGAAAATTGGAGCAAATTATGAATAAGTTTAACAATCATCATTACTTGCAAAAATAATCTATCTACTTAACTGATAAGTAATCAATATACACATATTCAGTAGTGATTTTTTAATTAAATGATACGAACTATAGGAATATGTGATTGATATTTTGAGGAAAAACAACAAATTGTGATGAGTTAAGTTTTGTTTTTCTATTAAGTTTATATTATATCTTCTATTACAACGATGCCATAAGAGCTAAAAATAATTGATAAATAATAGAATGATTATTAATTTTTATCTCAGTTATGAATTGAATATTATTTCTTCGAATTATCCAAAGTTATGCAAGATTTGAGATAATAATTTACAAATTTTTTTTTATAAAACTTGTTTACTCTAAGAAAGTGTCAGAAGTTGTCGAAAATTGGTATTGTTTTTAGTTATTACCAAAAATGGATTATCTAATCATACATGGATGTACAAATATTTAACAAGTTTTATGCTTTAAAAAAATATATTTTACGACTAAAAAGATTCAATCAGCGTTAAAGTGTTGTTTATTCGTTGAGTATAGACAATTTATTTTTTAATAATAAAATATAAAAAATCATTATAGTAATCTATAACTAGTTGTGATGCCCTGAAGTCTTAAAGTTTTAAAAAAATTGATCTTTGTTGCAAAAAATAACTGTAAGCAAAATATCTTGGCATGGGTCTCCTAGTGCGTCACAAAAATAATTCACAAGAACAGCAGGAGTTATTATGTGTAAATTTAAAAATGGTAAAGAATATACAAAACGACTGCGTAGAATCTTTGAATAACAACTGATACAATGAAGATCTTGTTAATTTGACTTCATTTATATTACTTAATTACAGCTATATGCTGATGCATAAGATGTTGATGACAAATGAGGAAAAAAATAAGCACAGAAATCAATGAAGTGATTGTGTAGAAAATGAATATGTCACGTGAATTACTTGACTATGACAATTATGGCAAAGAATTCATCGAAGGCCAGGGTCAAGCCTTCGATTCCTCTTAAGCTTAAAGTTAAGACTCAAGACTTGATATGAGTGCAACCGTACTTATAATAATAAGACAGTACTTCCATCTCATTAGCGAACTTATTCAAGGGCATGTTCACTCTTTTTGAGTTCCCATAACAAATGAGAGTTTGATGATTCTGAAATGAAAAATCTATCAGATGTGTGACATCTTAAATTATTGTACATGTATTAAAATTAGAGTTCATGCACGTAAATAAGCATCATAATCAAGGTTAACATTAAGATTTATTCGATACGGCTTTGAATAGTCCATGACAATGGACAGGAACTGGCTACCAAGGTCTCCCAGATTGTTTATTCACGTTCGTATCACTGGAAAACTGCAACAAAAAAAGACATAAAAAGTGGTAATTAATTAAAAATAAGAGTAAACAAATTAGTAATGTGAAATGAAAAAAGTATAATTAGATAATGATTTACGATATGAATTATTTTTTAACAAACCATCTTCAATTCACGTGACTTTTATTGACAGAATTGGCAAGGAGTCAACAAATGTCAACTTCAAACTATTTTATTATTGTTTATTAGCAATTGGTTCAATATTATATTATTAAATCTTTATATACATTGATAAATATCATTTAATTTTTTTTATTAGATGCTGTGTGATATTGAAATGGAGTAATTGTTGATGATATTATATAAAATTATATATTTCCTGGTTAATTTTAAGGATATTGTGGTTATTTTTAACCATGTGATATCGCAGGAAATGAAGTTTTTGTTAGTACATAAAATAAAAGTCAAGTTGAGAGTAGAGAAAAATGTATTTGAATGTAGTAGGGGTACCCCCTCTCATACAGACGCCGCGTGCTCGTATAAATGCACAAGAGCGTCGCACGAAAAAGCCACTCCCTTACACGTGTTGAATGGAGAATAATCTTGTGCATTCTTTTGTTTTTTGCAGCACTAAAATAAAAACAAAACATAAACTAATATCAAAAAGTGTTCAAGCAATTACCTATTAATTGTTTTAAACAAAAAAAAATAATAAAAATTTTATTAAAAAGTGTAAAAAATATTCATACTCATTTCTGTTGTCAAATTTCCGGTTAGTCTTCTTCAAACGAAGAAGAGAACTGTGAGAAAAGTGAAAGCTCCATCATCGATTGAGATCTCTAAGAGAATTCGAGAATATTGTGGTAAAAGTGTGTTAAAAAAGAGTCAATCATATAAACTGTTATAAATTGAATAAAGTGTTAATTAAAATAAATAAAAAATAATATTCGCTGATATAAATGATAAAGAATTTAGAAATAAAACAACTGAAAATAAAGAGAAAGCTCATAACTCTTAGTAAATGCTGTGGAGATAAGAAGAAAAAAAATTGAAGAAATATGGGAATTGTTTCATCTACCTTACTCTCTGTGGCTATCCAGCTAGCTTGGAACTGTCAACGTTTCTTGGACCCACGCTACAGGTTGGAGTTTATTTATATACCCGCACTAGGTTAGAGTAGCTTCTAGCTAAATTTCACGGATTATTCAGGAAGGTCATGCTACAGTCTAGTAACTGTTCAGGCACCTGTGGTTATCTTTACATCTCCAATTATCCAAAGTCTAGACTATTCACAAACATTAGTTTAGTATCAAATAGAATGGACATTCTAGCCCTCTTTATCTGTATTAAATCAGCAAGAATTCAATCCCCTGGTGCTTGAGTAGATTGTATAACGGCCAAATTGTATTTTTAGCTCATACTCATGTCGATCCAGCCACCAGGAAATGCATCAGATTCAAGTTCACTCTTCTATTCTGTATACTTCCGATATTTATCTTCCAGTCTCTCACACATGCTGCTAGTTCAAATAAATAATTCCATTGTAATGACGATGATTTCATCGATATAATCTTACTATATAATTTACAAACCTTTTGAGTCACTTTGTGATAATTTTTTGTGATACGTTTTCTATTTCGGTCATTCATACCAATTTATCAGCTACTGGATAATTAATGAATATTTTATAAATTTCTACAATTAGTTTTTAATTTATTTTGACATGTTAGACATGTTGTTTAACTCTTAATTTAATTTTACAAAAAACCTGTTCAATAATTTTTCCATTTTTTAAAGATAACACCGAAGTAAAATCATTTTATTGCTTGTTTACATTCAGTAGCCATTTGTTCACACAAATTGTCACGTTTCTTGTATCTATTTATATCCCATTACCATCCTAAATACCAAAGTTTTTTTTATAGCTTACCTATAATCCAATTAATGATTTATATACTAAGAAACAAAGCTTGTTTGACAATTGTTGCTACTTAAAAATCAGATGTAGTAAATAACATGTCTTATTTTTATTATATTGAATGAAAACTCAGAAGTCACGTTTTATTATCAAACCATTCATTTTCTATTACATTATGATTGATCAATTTTGATATTGTAAATTTTTTAACATATCCATCACAACACATTTTCTATGCCATAAATAAAGCAAAGAAGACCTTTCAGGCTTTGAATAAGGTTTATCTTTGAAATTCGATCTCGTTGCACACCACTGACACTTCCGTATTTAAAGGAAGCCCCTTAGAAAGCAAACTACTTCCTGAAGAAGATATAAATAAAGTCTGTTAATCTAATTTTGTTGCTCTAAATTTTACATCAAACATCATTTTAGACTAATTAAGAAGTTTTCACATATCATTTATTTTCCCAATAGGTTGAAATATGGATCAAGGTTCACCAAAGACATTCAGTGTAGCTAGAAATACCTTTCAGTGTATCTTCAATGATTAGGTGATTAATCTATATGAGTCAGTCAACATTATAAATCTTTTTCCAGTTTAATATTTAATATTAACGGCATGTCTTTGTTTGAATATCTGTTTCATTATATATTCATTATGTTATACATCATTGGCATCCTTCTCATTTAGCAGCACAAAATATATATATTATTGTGTAAGCGTTAAGAATATGGAAAGAGTAATCATACGCATGAATAATTGATAATTATATTGTAACTTACGATTAGACATAATCAGTATAATTGGCTATAAGCCGTATTGAGTACTCGTGCACTCAGAACTTGAGTCATTGGTGTTCAGTGCCTTTGCACTCATAGTATAGCCCATACATTTGCTTATGTGTATAGTATAGGTATCTTACATGAGTATAATTCCAGTTCTTCACAGTTTCAGCATCAGAAGAAGTGTCACGATCAAGTTACAGTCAAGTTCATGGCCTCGTGAATTTTTAATTATTCTTTTATATCAGTTTTTTTTTCTTTCATTGTTTTTCTGTAACTTCTCATGTGAATCATTCGCAGGTCTGTTCTAAAATTGGAAGACTAGACACTCGCATCCTTTCACTTTATCATGTTTTCATATCGTTTTATTAATCACTTGGTACACCAGTTCCAATAGATAATTTACACTATAGTAACCAGAAAAATTTTAAAAGCATTTGTGTGTTAGAAAACTGGAATTAAAATGGATATTTAATTTTTTAATTATCAAAGTATTATTCATCTTAATTAATTCATTTATCATACTAAATAAAATATTGATACCTAACAGTGATCTATCATTTTTTCTAATTTAAATTTGTTCAAGGCTAAAATGAGAGTTTATATAGATCAGTTTTATTTTAGTGGTCATAAAAAATTATTTTCAACTTTATCTTCAAGGTACTTAACAATTTAAAAATTAAATTTCCATGAAAAAATTTTGCGTGCAGAAATTTTCAATACTACTTTCATTATAATAATAATTATTTTTAATTTTCTTTGATAAACAGGTTTATCAGAAAAATACTTCGTTCTCATTCCTCAGACGTTAATTTTATTCTTTAACTTTCACTCTCTTGAGTCTTGTTACATGCAAACCATTATATTCTCATGACGTGAGTATGTTCGAAAATTATACTCTTCTTCTTCTTCTATATCTATAAATTATTATAGGGACTTAACATTTCATTATTCAAAGTCATCAACTCCTTTGCCATTTCCGTTTTTTTTTGTATAGCATCGATTGAATGTAGCAACATAATGAACTTAATAAACAAATCGTGCGATGTCTCTCGATATTTAGAGTGTTTAGAATGTCTCATGTCTTACGTAAAGTGAAAAGAATCTTTGATTGCATCGAAAGTAAAGACAACAATATTATTCAACGAAACCTCGTTCTCAACCAATTCGTTAGACTCTGTAGCTTACACTTCTGATGTTATTATATAATGTCATTGGAGTTTTCTCCAAGTGGAAAATATTGTGTACCTGTAAACATACATTATGTGCTTAAGTATAATAATCGATTGGTAATGACCATGAACTCCAGAATTTTATTGTTTAAACTTGAAGGACATGTACAAAAAAGAAAAAAAAAGAAAAACCATGTTAATAATTTTTTTCTGTTTGAATTCATGATGCCTGATCGTAGCCGGTTGATAATGTTGTTAAATAAGTCGCGTGAGGAGAAGTATTAAATATTAACTAATCATAGTACTCTCTGCTTACCTGTGCTAAGTAAATTAAAGCCAATGTATATACATATATTTTTGATGATATAGTAAAATAATTCTATCTTGATTCATCAGAATAATTTTATCGAAAGTACTTATCATCTTTCATTTTTGAAACAACTCTTTTATTAATTATTATTATTATTACTCAGCTAACAGACTTTTTGTTAGCAATAAAGATCTTAGAGAATATTTAAGTGGAAATTTATCATGAAAAAATATCAACAGTTGCTTTTCGTTGAAAACATAAAGTTTACATCTATAATTTATATTTTTCAATGCTATTTCCATTAAAAATTCATTTGATTGTCCAAATAATTAATAATTATAATTGCCATTGTACAATATTTAAAATAGAATTTCAAGTTTTTTTTAATGATTTTGTTGAATAAAAAAAAATGATTATTTCTTCAGTAATGACACATCAAGTCACTGAATAAATTTTTATTCACTGTTCTGAGGAGAAAAGATTGTTTTTAAAATACTTGGTAATGACATAAACGTTAGAGGAAATTAAATATATTTAATCTTAATTTATTTTTCAAGCAATGAAACTTTCGTGAAATCTGAATTTACTGAAACCCTCATAATTTTGTCTCCAAAGCCAGGAGATTATTTGTTCTGTTGCCTTGAGATATCCCATTAAATTTCGCAGCTAAATTTAACAAAAGACATTTCGTGATCCCAATCACTTCTGAACAGGTCTCAGACTTCCCACTGATGACCTCACACAGCAGGTCATACACCCGACAAAGAAGTAAACGAATAGAATAAGATTGGAGACTGGACGATGATACTGGCTCTAAATGCAATCAACTACGACGTCATAACACACCCACTTGATAAAAAAAAATTTCAATGCAGTTCTTCAAAGACTTCAGTTATTCTTGAATACATTTCTCTACCTATACTAACTGAGATTAATCAATTGTGACGTAGAGTTGACGTTGCACTTGTGAAAAGAATTTGCTCAGAGTTGTTATAAGATTTATTCATTAGATTGGATTTAATAATGCCTATTAAAACAATTAAATCATTCACGTCATTCTATCTCTTTAGATATCAACTACTACAATTACCAGAGAGATATCAATATATTACAATAGAATTATTTTAAATATTGATAAATAGTTCCAAGAAACAAAATGATACCTGGATGGAATTCAGCTACCTTTTTTTAAATTTCTCTCTTAGAAATTTTGCTGATACTCCTACCAGGTAGATTTGAAATATTTTTAGAAGTTTCAACTATGCTAAGAGTCGGCCGTAGATATTAAAAAAAAATTCAAAAATCTAAAAAAATTGATGAACAAAAAAGATAATATCTGCATCTTGAGTTCCAAACACGCTATAATGAATTTTTTTTGCATTCTTCTGACATTTTATTATAAAGTCACTTCTAAGCTATTCTGAAAGAGATATAGATCCTTAAGAATTCCTGAAGAATTCCAAAGAGATCACAGGAAGCATTTACAATTCTAATATAATAGTTTTCCAGATTCATTTCTTACCAAACTCACAAAGTATCTGAGAATATATGATTGCTTAATTAACTTTTACTATTATTGTTGAGGAAAAATGTTAAATATACACTTTTTTAATGTGTGATAAACACACTTGTAACGAAAAAGCCTTGGAACTTTCGAGAATTTGAGAACCAATGGCCTTTTGAAGTTTCCAAGGATTCTCCAAGCCTTGAAGTCGAAGGCTTAACTTGTCTAACTTAAGTTAAAGTAATCATTTATGTATTATTTATGAGTAATATAAATTTCACTCATTCTCTTATTACAGAGATGTCGAGCCAAAGAAATCTACTGAGATTCTACCTTCTTCTGGACAAATACGTGGAAGTAGAGTCGATGAAGCAGTTGGGAATCAAGTCGCAATTGCTAGACCTGAAATGGTTTCCACCCACCAGGAAAATAGAAATAGACGAGCTGCTCAGCTTAGGTACAGAAGAAAACGACCTTCAAGCTTCGATGCATCTTTGATTGTTAAGAGTATGAATAAAAATGGAGTTATTTTATCGACTGGACGAAGAGTTGTTTCATCAAATCCTTGCACACTTAAGAGACAACCAGCGCCTGAATGGAACGATTCATCATCATGTTTATCATCATCATCATCTTCAATGTCTTCTCATGATGGTAAATATATTTGAAAATAAATTTATATGAATTATTTATTGGAAATCGGATATGAAATATTATTGACTGAATTCTGACACATAAGGATTATTTCTATAAATAAATAATTTTTTCTTTCCATTTAAACCTTGATTAAGGAAAAAAAATATTTAATATTTATAAATACTACGGAGTTGTTAGTAAAATAATATTTCAAGCTACTTGAATTATTGTGAAGAATGATGTAATTCCATACAACTTTGTTGTCAAGTTGCTCTACAACTTATCATAATTTCAAATTTTTACAGCATGTAAATTAGTTGTAATAACTAAAGGAAATATTTTGTAAAAGCATAGTAAAGTTTTATAAATACATTTTAATGAGAATAAGTATTAATTGAAAATAATCATCTATTTTCCAAAGATTAATAGACATTTAGTAATTTAGCTTCAAAGGGGATTAAATATAGAATCAAAGTTTAATTAATTAAAAAGGATTTTCCGAGTTATGTGGAACATTGAAATTAATGAAAAAGTGGGTCATGAAATTTAAACTCTTCAATGATGTAGAGAACTCTCATCCTGGACTAAAATTACGTGCCAACTCTTACCTAAATCATTTATCAACATTTGTATTATGTGCTACTAAGCTGTCAGAATTCGCAATGACTTGGAAATTGAAGGAATATTTGCTGCCAACAGCGAAAACTTTCATTCTATTTTAAAAATATATACTATACCATTGTTAGCAAATAGTTTTTCTTTAACATTGTAATTACGTAATATTTCACATGACAGTATCTATGTCAACTTTCGTAATTTATAATCAAAAGGCAAATTAGTATTCTCCATTATTAACTGGAAGTATTTATAAAAATACTTTGTTTTCTTATAAATAAAATATTATGACAGAGATGATAATGAAATTTCCTTATTATTTCAGATTCCGATGTCGAAATAACCACTAAAAGGAAAACGAAAACTTTAGAGAGAACGCAAACGTTGCCAGAAAAAAGTCCTGATAAAGATGATGATGACATCAGTGGAGAAGAATACGGAATGTCAGCTGCAGAAGAAGCAGCTTTTAGAATGACTGTAGGCAGAGGATATTTCAGTAAATCTAAGAAGGATGAATTCTTGAATCATTTAAGACTAGAAAAACGACTAAATGACCTTAACCGCGAATTTTTTGATCTTGCATGTCGAGCACATGCACGATCAATTCATCGACATCATTCAGGAGATCTGCAAAGGAAGATTCTTTAATTGATAAAAGAGTTTGATTATAATATATATTTATTTTACGATGATAATCTCTAATAGAACTCGTAGTTCGCACAAAATATATTAAACCAATCATAATGTTAAAATTTATGACTAGGATGTTAATCAAACATGAAAATAAGACTGAAAATTGATCATTAATGGTTCATTTCAATATTTGTTTATATAACTAGTCTTTGAATGACACAGAAAAGTCGAATTTTTTATTTTAAATACATTTTGGGACTTAAATTTGGTATAAGGTCATTAGGACTTGATATTATAAATATTTATTTTGGTAAAAGTATTGATAATTTCATTAAATTTTTCACATAAGTCTTCTTTTTTAACCTTTGTGATATCATGTTATTGATAATTATTTTTTTTAATGATTAATTCAATTTAAGTAATATAAATTTTAAGCTAGTAAATCACGTAAGTGCCATTGAACATACATATTTGGAATTTTATGATTAATAATGTTATACCATTCAAATATTTATTAAGATAAATAACGAGTCATGACTGATGAAGACACTATCAAATAAATATAAATTTATAAGTAAGCAATAGAACAGGATTTAAATTAAATAGTTTCAATCGGAATCCGTCCGAGGCGTGCTGGTATTGCAGAACATGAAGTCGGCGGGAGATATTTGTTCCATCAGTTAGGTCGAGACCTTTCGACGAGAAACCTACAAGAATATTTTTATCTTTGTGATAATGGTCAATAACAGTAATTGATTGTAAAAGGAATACTTGTTTGAGAAAAAATGTATATTTTACATAAAGAAATTGTATTTCTATTTTTTGTAATAAATTTTTGTCAATATTTATGTGTTGCTTCAAAGAATTATTCTTCTACACCAACACCCATCGTACTTTGGCATGGCATGGGTAAGAATTGTTGTACATAAATAGAAACATAACAATTAACGTTACAATCATTTAATGATTTAATAAGCTAATTTGATGATCAATTGCCAAGATAAACTGAAAATAGATGTAACTAAGATTTTGCTAGTAATTTTATAATTATTTTATATAAATTACAAGATAACTTGCAAAAGATAAAATAAAAACTGCGTATACAGTTAGGCTAAAAGAGGGAGTAATCACTGTCATGGTTGCGTGTTTTTCTTTCTTCCTGTGTCAATAAACGTTCATGCGTCAGTTTCAAGCGGTAAACTTTGAATCCTTTTTATGACGTTCCAGGTGACAGTTGCTGCTTTTCCTTTAGTTTGGGACAGATAAAAAACATTTTGGAGCAAGAAATACCTGGAGTCTATGTCAAGTCTATTCGAATTGGTGATAATGAAATTGAGGTAATTTCTTTCATGTAAATTTAAGTCAACAATTAGATGCTTTAGCTGATAATACCACAATAATGATCAAACAATAGAATGAAATATGAGGTAACTACCAAGATAAGCCATTGATAAAAAATTTTATAGGACGTTGAAAATAGCTACTTCAAAAATGCAAATGAGCAAATAAAAGAAGTCTGTCAAGATTTAAAATCAGATGAAAAATTATCAGATGGATATAATGCCATAGGATTTTCTCAAGGAAGTCAATTTCTTCGAGCTGTTGCCCAAAGATGTCCTGATCCTCGGATGAAAAATTTAATTTCTTTGGGAGGACAGCACCAAGGAGTTTATGGTCTTCCTAACTGTGGATCTTTGACATATCGCTTCTGTGATTATCTCAGAAGAATATTAAATTATGGAGCTTACTTGAACTACATACAAAATAAATTCGTTCAAGCCGAATATTGGCATGATCCTCTCCAAGAAGATAAATATAAGAAAAAGAGTGTTTTCTTAGCTGAAATTAATAATGAACTTGTTATTAATGAGGTAAGATGTGTTGAAACAATTATTATTTCCTCTCTATGACTTGAGTTAGTGTATAGTAATATTTTAAATTATTTTTAGGAATATAAAAAAAATCTACAACAGTTAGAATCATTTGTTCTCGTCATGTTTACTCAAGATACGATGGTTCAACCCAAGGAGAGTGAATGGTTTGGATTTTATAAACCAGGACAATCAACAGAGTTACAGACCCTTCAAGAATCTGATCTTTACATTCAAGTATAAATTAATATCTTCTATTATACTTATTTAGTTTATTTAAAAGTTCAAAGACTATAAAAAATATTCAATAATTGTAGGATCGTCTTGGACTAAAAAAAATGGATAATGATGGCAAGCTGCACTTTTTATCAATAGATGGGAATCACTTACAATTCAACGACACGTGGTTGAAAGAAGAAATCATTACAAAATATCTTATTTAAGATTAAAAATAATTTTTTTATAACTAATAATTTAATTATAATTTTTCTACAAGTGTATTTCGAAAATGAATAAAAATCTCTGGTTGCAAGTAGCTGAAATACATTATCGACTCAGTTCTGACACTAGAAAATTATTCGACCATGATAGGATAACCAATCGACTCAGTTTTCGCACAAAAGTTTGGCAAAATTTCAAATCGTGTTGTGTGATAATCAACTTTTTGCTCATACAAGTGTAGTAAATATAGTTTTTTTTATTGTGTATTATAAAAATGAAAATATTCCAATCAATATCAGTTTATATAGCAACTCGTCGCGTTTGAGGATCCAATCAATACTTTAGTTGTATTTTTTCTACTTTTATTCTGCTATTACAGCTTTAGCTATTTCAATTCATCAACATGTGGAACAAAAATTAAAAATAACAATAAATGTTGTGAAAAAATGACTTGAAGTTTTTCGATGAATGACGTTTCGTGTTCAAAATGATCAATAACAACTAAAAAAATAGTTTAAATATCATGTAGGACATTTATGCAAATAGTTTGCATTGGAAAATGATGAAAAAGAGTCATTGGTCGTTTATCAAATCAATTGATCAAATTTCTACCGAGCTATTTACCCATTTAATCTCATCCGGATGATTTTGATAAGCTCAATAAAGTAACAACCCATTTGAAGACCACTCAAATACTCGAGGATCAGGGACTATCGACATCCTTGAAGCAAGCACCCTTTTAGTCGGACCCTAAACTTATCCCCTAAACTCAAGGACCATCAACTGAGATGAAAAGATTCTCTTGGAAGAATCAGGTCGTTCTTTTTTGTATTTGCATTGACTTGTAAACATCACACATCGTTTCTAATAAAAATTTACGTGGACATACAGACTCACATACAAGCAAAGGTGAATATGTAGGAAACACCTACATGTTTGATGCTCCCATTAAGAGATTACATTATGAGTTCACTTTGTACACCTTTTTCTACCCATCTGGGCCTCTACTAACTCGTACTCCTAACAGATGGATGCAGAGTTAACGGGATGAACAGCGTCCTTGCAAAAGAGCTCGACATTGTGAACAGGTCGGGGGTCTCGCGTGAATAAATATGTTTTATGCAAAAATGTTACTGCCCCCCAGTGTCTATATTTTTTTTCACTCACTCCTCACTCTTTCTTCTCTCACAAACACGGTCATCATATGATTACACTTCTTTCTCTCTCATTCATCCCACGCTTTCTCGCACTCTTTATCTCCCCCACTTTTTTTTATCTCTTGGCCTTTCTGCCTCTTGTACTCGCCCCTCTAGACCTCTTTTACCCCGCCAGCCTCCCAACAGACATTACGAGATGAAATATTCCTCCGCGAGAATTGCATGAAGACTTTTGACGCCTTTTTTTTGTTTTAATGTATAGGTTTTTCTTTTCCTTTGTTTTAACTCTTGGTGCTTACTTGCTTTCGTTTTTTTTGTTGTTTCAACGCGATGTCGTTGCTTTTTCACTGCGACTCCTACGCTCTTTATCTCTCGTTTGTTGCCATTCTTTATTTGACGGCGCGATTACGGAAGTTTTAAGGACCGATGTCGAGAGGTCGATGAGGGGTAATTGAGTTTGACTTTTTTTATTGATCCCCGAGTGAGCTTTTCTTAATAGTGAAAAAATGAAGTTGATGTTAATTTTATTGAGGATTGATTGTAATAAAAAAATTTCTTATAAAATATTACTCTTCTTTTATGATTAAATATTTTTCCAACTTGTATTAAAAAATAACTAATGAGTATGTAAATAAATTCTTCAAAGATTTTTTGAAAATAATCCAAACTTCAAAGCTCATTACATAGTTAGCTTACATAATTTTTTTACTCGAACAAAAAATTTTTTTGTGTCTACCGTTGATGCTTTTTATCTACTAAAGCATTAATTCTAGTAATTATACTAAAAAAATGTTTTTATGACAAAGAACAAAGTAATAACTTCCTCAGAGACTGAAAAGTTAATGGAGGATAGAGAATAAGAGAGGGAAAGTTGTGCGAGGCTGACTTTTTTGCGCGTGCTTTCTTCCTATAAGGGGGTGCAGTGCGCGCATCCCCTTCATTATATAGTCGTTTTTACTTGTATAAACCACAACTACGATTAGCTTATTATTCCATGCCTTTGTGAACAGTTTTCTGGACTGTTTCAAAGTCGGTGTTATACCCAAAGCATTGACAGAAAAGTTAGAGAATGAAAGAGAACAGTCGATCAACAATCATGTCTCTATTTTTTGTTATTCAGAATAAAAAAAATCCATTTCCCAATATTTGATTATATCAAAACAAAATCATCAGCAAGGAATTTGGAATTCACCACTTGTATCAGCTTAATGAAAAAAGTACCCACGAGCACTAATTTCTAATAATAACTATAAAAGACAATTATAAAAAATCATTCATATTGAAGCTCCCCAAGTCTTTTATGATTTTTATCTTTTCTATATTCCTTTATCACAAAAGGATTTAATATTCCTCTGGCTGTAATAATCAGCTAGCAAATGTCACGTGTACATTTATTATACTGATGTAGAAACATGTGATAGTAGGATATAATGGTGGTTAATTATGAATTTGACGTCTAGTGATATTCAGAGAGAACCATGTGTGAATATAGAGACATAAGCCCAAGGCAATATTCTCACTGTGAAGATTCATGACGATATACCTGACGCAATATTCATGTTTTTTAAGTCTTTTAAAAATGTTTATCCATTATCATCAGAAGGGATCCCAAAAACAATTGATAAAATTTAAAATATTGCCAGAAAACCACTTATTGATATTGAAGACTTGTAATGTATTAGAACAGAGATTGCCAAAATAAAGATTCATGGTGGACTTGATGACAATAGATTGATAGGGGTTCCTTTATCTTCTGATCTCCAAAAATCTGTGATGTCCGTATGCAGATCACCCAGTAGTATCGTCCAAATACAATGGTCTTTACCATCTGGGGAACCAAATGACACCACCCTGGTAGAAGCGACATGCCTTTTTTATTCTTCATTTATATTCTTCTGTCATTGGACTCTTTGTCTTGAAGATTCGATAGCATATCTTGAAAGACGACTGGATTAAAGGACGAAATACCTAAAAGCAATATTGAAATAAATATTTGATTGTAATATTGAACATTTAATATCGACATTTGGACAATGAAAGAAAGCTTCCTTTTTATGTCTATCATGCTATTTTTGAGTTGATACATACCCCCGCAGAGTCAGATATTCGTGGAAACAATGAGCTGAGAGGCTGCATGCGATTCTTTTCCTTTCTCTTTTCTCCAGTTGGCTATTGCTGGGCCTATATGTGATTGTGGAACAGCGGATAGCATTGTATAATATACTCTGTTGTTCCACCACCCTCTCGGGACCGCCTCTCGTCTCTTTCAGCGTCGGCGCGACTTGTAGTGTGCGCGAGAGTGAGACCAAGAGAGGGATGATGATGTCGAGTAATATGGATTCCGCTTTGTCGCAAATTTGCCGCAATGCTAATGGACGAATCGTGAATATTCTTTGCATTCATTCTATATTCCTCTTACTCATGTAAGCTCGATGACAATCAATTAAAAGCTTTCTTTAATTTTTCTCTGTGCTTTTAAAGCCTCAAATACATCATTTAAGTACGAAATATGAATGCTAAAAAATATATTACACTAAGTGCAGTTTATATCAACTATACAACTCATTTTTTATTTATTGTTTTTCAAACGATAACATCAACCATTTATTTTCCAACATTTTTTATCATTGGTAGCTTTATTGATTGGTTTCATTATTCATTAATAAATTCGTCAAGTTTAAGTATCGACAGACACTTTAGTAACTTATTAAAATTATTTGAAATCGTTCTGAGAAATGAATTTTCGAATGTACTTTCATTTTAGTAAATAAAATGATAAAATAATTATTAAAGTGCTTGGATAGCTAATTGATAAATAAATTTTTAAATAAATTTAATAGATGAAGTAGATAGAAATATTTTATAAACTCATTGAATTTATGTAAAATCGAAGAAATTAATTAGGTCAATGATGGATAAAAAGACCTATTTTTCATAGATTTTTGCAATTAATCATTTTGATGATTGATAATAATTAAAATTACAAATACATTAAATTAATGAAATCATTAATTATAAAAATTGGTATTTAATGTTTCACACTTCAGAGGAGTAAGATAAATGTCAAAAAAAATATGCAAAGAACAATAGGGAAATTAGCAATTACAATGATAAAATGATAATGACTCCAATATACAAATGATCAACAGTAAATGAGGTATAAAAGCTATAACAATGGAGCATTGTTAAACGCGCTGGCCAAGATACTCCAGTGTGGCAAGTGACGCAAAAATTGCAAGATAGAACACAGATAAAAAAAGGAAGAAAAAGGAAAATAAGAAGATACGAAAAGGGATGAAGTGAAACAAATGAAAACTCAGAGAGAGATAAACAGCATTCATTGGTTGGGAAGAGTGTGGAACGGACGAGCGGACTCGTAAGCTTCCTCTTCGGGGGAGAAAGAAAAGAGAAGGATGATGTAGGAAATGGCGAATGAGTGCCGAAAATGATATGCTGGACAATGGGCATTGTTTACTAGCGGTCGGGTATGATTCGCTAGAATTTCCTCTTAGTGTCTGTACCCTCTTTCCCTTCGTCCCTTCTTCGTTTGAATTATTCGCAGACGTCCAGTGCCTTCAATTCTTCCTCGCATCACCGTTCATCTTCATAACGAATATATACTTTGTAATTACTCTTTCATTTTGATTATTTTCATTTGCTTTAAATAATCCTGATTACAAGTGTATTGGGTTTTATGATTTTTTTTCTCTTCAGTTTCTTTGGAAAAAATTGACAAAGTTTGTGAAAGAAATAAAAATTATAAACTTAGAATATATTGTGTTGGATGGAAGAGAATTTTTATAATCAACGTAAGGTTGGTTGGATACTGGGTATTGTATTGGCTCGAGCGAGAAAAGCGAACGCTTCAGGGCACGTAAACGGAACAAACCTTTTTCTGTCCATGAGCGAGAGAGGCTTGATTAAAACATTAATTGAGACGGAAATAACAGACCATCACACTTCAGGGAACCATACAACTAACTTGAACTCCCCCATATCTTAAAATAATTCATCACAACAAAATATTGGAAGGAAAATGAGAATGAGGGGATGAGTTATTCAAACTCTTATTCAAGTGAATTTCGATGGAAATCTTTGAGAGAAAAAAAATTTATCATATACAAAGTTTTGATTGTACGTTTGAAGTTGAGAAGGCGTACGTCTGTTCATTCGAGAGTAATACCATGTAATGGAGTTGTAGGCCCAGGGGAACAATTGGACTAGTACCAATGCACCAATTCCCAAACATCATCTCCCTTGTACAATTCACCTTTAATGAAAACTAATCTCATACATGATGTGGATGTTTGGGGTCAACCAAACACAGCACGTGATTCCATTGACGCTAAAGTCAAATAGCCACCCTAAGTCTTCTCTTTCAATTCTATCCATCATCAACAAATTAATCTCATATAACATATCAGTATATAATCCCACAATTATTATCTTCAATTAAATCCTGAAATCATATATCCATTTAGTTGAAAACTCATTTTATAATTAGTTTGCTGAATATCCAATTATTAATTCAATCATTATCAGATAAATAAACTATTCTCTTTCAACAAAATTGCTTTCAAGCTCAAAATAAAAAAATACCAGTTGTCAAAATAAAGTTGAAATTAATCTTGTACTCAGTTGGTGTCTTTGTATAAAAACCTTTTCTGCAGGGGTCCTCGAAAGTTCGTGCTTAAAAACATAAGGACATCATAAAGCCACGCGTCATCACCTCATGCGGTTTATTGACTTGATTGTGGCTTGTTTTTGGTAGCTGCTAACCCTCGAAAATAAATATGCGATTGTTCATTGATGATAATCTATCCAATTTGCGATTTATCATGATCTGTATTGCTGAATGAAACAAGTGCTGCGGGCCGATTCTTCATCCATCTATATTAAAAAGAAATTGATCATATTAAAGATATCTGAAGACGATAAATATGAAATATAATCAGAGTTATATTAAATCCTGATGTATTGAAAGAAAAAATTGAAATATCTTAGCTGATATATAAAAGCATAAACGGAAAAGATAATCTCAGGAAAACGTTTTTGAATTGAGAATAGGAAAGAATGCATAAGGAAGTACAGGATATTGGCATAGAAGTATCAAGAAGTAAGTAAGAAGATATGATAAGACGAAGGAGGAGCATAAAATACAGAGTAGAAAGCGCATGGTTGCTCGCTTCGTATTTTCTAAAGAGGGTGATGAAGTTGAATCTCTTTCTCCTCACTTCTCTCTTTCTTATTCTTGGCTTAAGGATGAAGTCTAGAGTGAATATTCAACGTAGATATAAGAGTATATAGACTTGAATATCTGCAACCAAGCAAATGGCCAAGTAATTAACGATATTCTGACGGTAATTAAACACATCCAATCTTCAAGTCCGAAGGAAAATCATAAAGGTAAGAAGGAGGGATGCAAAGTTACCTCTTCCGAAGATGCCGCAACGACCAAAACCTTTGCTTGTTTTCTATAGCATTGGCGAAGTAATGGAGGAAACCACTATTGGCTTCTCCTCTTTCGCTTTTCACAGCAACCTAACTCATCTTCAACCTCTCTCGTATCCATTTAAGTCTCAATCCCTTATAAATTCGCTTGACCTTTCGGAAATCGTCGTGGAATACAAAGTTATTCATGGCGAAATTTGGTAATTTATTTAAAGCTTGATAAAAGGATCTTTCGTTTGCAACTATTTGAATTAAAAAAAAATCCGTTCTCTCATCATTAATAATCAACGATCAACAATGAAAATAAGAAAAAAAATTCTGAATGAATTTCCAAAGTTTGAGTTCATTTTCAAGCCTTAATTATTGCATGAAAGTTATTTGCATCTTGAAAATCATACACCAAGATAACATGAATTCTTATCGATGGTTTTAACAATACAAGAATTAATAAAAAAAATAATCTTTGATTAAAATCGACATAAATTATTCATTTACACGGTTGGATTGAAAATATAAATTTGAATAGAGTGAATACATAAATAGTAGTGATTAATTGCTTGTAATTAGCATCCTAATTAACGAGGAAACGATATCATTCTCCGTTCTGGGGAAGAATAAACAATCGTCGGAGATGCACAAAGGTACATCCCGGGGAATTTAGTTTTTTCCTTCCTCTACTTTCTTTTTATTTATTTCTTTTTTCAAAAACATAACAATGTACTTACCCACACAGATCTACATACGCTTTTAGATGAATGTTAAATTATATATGCATCCGGACGTTGTTGTGTGATCACTCTAATTAGTTCCATTTATGAGATAGAGAGTTATTGCATCTACAAGTAATACTCTATGTTCATGGTGAATCAAAGGGTATTATTTTATTGAGATCCTCATGGGAGAAATATAATTCCTTCATTTCCTGAAAAAACAAAAACCAATCCCTTATGAAAAGAATATAATAAATTCTGATACATTAAAAATTAATTATTAATTATACTAATTAGAGTAATAATTATTGACAATCATCCTAAAGAATTTCCTTCAACATCAATATTTCTACCATATAAATAATTTAAATTTAAAAAATGTTCACAGTTTTATTAAAGTAAATGAGCATTTTAATTATATTAAAAAGATAAAATTATAGAAAATTTCTAATGGATCTCTTGTTAATTGTGATCTATATTTAAGAGTTAATTAATCAAGTAAATAGAATAAAAGAAACAGAGTAAACAGTTAAAACTCGGAAAGCATCACCGAGATGCCCTGAGCTTATCTATCTCGTTTCACTTCCGTACACGAGGGTGGTTTTAATTACCCCTTCCATTACTAGCAAAACCAACCCCGTTACTGGATTCATTTAGTCGCGTTACCACTGCCACTGCTCAAAGTACATGTACGTCCCGCCATCCTTTACTATTTTCCTCTTACTCCACTTCTCTACGTTATTCCCCTCTTCTAGAATCTACATCCTGCAATGTAGAAACATGCGGTGATGCACGAAGAAGAAGAACTCTGAGTATAACTTACCCTTCCCTATTCACCAAGTTAATACATTTTCTCTACATAGGTAACATATATTATTTTACATTCATAACTCCCTAGGTGTGTCATTTATACCATCCATTACCATTGTTCCTGTCTTTTAACTTTAGTTATTCTGATCAGTTTTAGCACTGATGAATAAACTTTAATTTTTTTTAGAAGAACTTCAAATAATAATTCATATTGTTGTTGGTAAATAATTGTAGTATTTTAATTTTCTATTAGCAAGAATTTAGGTCGTTGCATTAACTTAATAATCACAATAATTACGTATAATAAACTTCAACAGCGAACAAAATCTTTCAAGGCTTGAAAAGTTAAGAATAAAGACAATATAAAAACCTACTAGATAATGAATCTTTTATAGTGTGGTTTACATTTTATTTTCCTTTTTCCTTGAATATTCGTCACTTCACGCATCCTCAAGCATTCCATTTTTCTATTCATTCTCTCAGGTCTTGGATAATAACACGTCTGCATGTAATAATGATAATGAGACCAGGTCTTTTTGGTCCTGACCCGCGTACTTGCTTGAAAACAACATACTAGAAAAAGTGAAAACTTGAATGCTTTAGGGAGTACTGTAGGAAGGTTAAAAAATATGCCTAGAAGGTGACCGTGCGTACTATTCCGCTTGTCACTTCTAGAAGTCACTTCCACAATAGCAGGATGCCTTCACCGACGCGACATACCGCCTCGATAAGCAGGTGACACGATGAAGAGTCGCTAGAAATATTTTTTTCCTTGTCTTTTGTACATGCTGGTGCACAGTTTGGAAATTGTTGACACACCGTCGAACCGACATTGTGCAAAGAATAGGTTCACTCGGAAGAAAACTCAAAAATCTTGAGGATAAAAATGGCTTCAAACTTAAGAAATAAGTTTTTTTAGTTAAAAAATATTTTTTCTAACTTTTGTATCAATTTATAACCATTGAATAATAATTGGGCGCTTGAAAAATGCTCTTGTCTAGAAAATGTCTTGAAACTATACAAACAAATATCTTCAAATGGCATTGAATGTCTTGACTAGACGAATTGTGTGTGAGATACTTTCATAACTGCACTTTTTGTGCAAGCAAATAAACGGAGACGTTTTTATCCATTCTTTTTAGCATTCGACGAGGAAAAATATACTCTTACAACTTGTCTCTTGTTCTTCTTTATCTTATACTCGAAGGTTGGTGAAGATTCGAATGCTGTGGAGCCCAGACTATACCCTCGAATTCTCTTTCATTTGCATTATTATATGGTAAATGAAACTGAGGAGCCGAAAAAAATGCCCGAGCCTTTTGTCACACGACAATTGTTCGTCCGGACCATTTTCATTGATTATGTACCTTCTTTATCTCTCTTTTTAGCGGTGTAACCACCAGCCAATCTCCTTGAAAACACCCCAAGTTGTTTATCTCTCGCATTTGTATTTTCCACTTTTACCTCATGTCTGTCCATGAAATTGCGTAAGTCAACAATAATCTGAAAAATATTTCAATAATATTTAATCACAATAATAATTATTATTTTTATTAAATAATAATAATATAAATCCATCATCTAGCTTTAATAATGACAAAAAATTCTCACATTGCATTGATTTGGGTTAGTTTAAAAAAATTTAATAAAAAGATGTTCCATCGCAAAAAAGAACTTCACAACAATAGAAATCACTGTAAAAGACGTATACTTTAAATGAAAAAAGTAAGTTGTTTAAAAAAAAAAATTGTTCAATAAATTCTGAGTTTTCCCTCGACTATATATAAAAGATAAATTAAATCCTTACCGTTGAAATATTAATCTCGACTGAATATTTCAATGTTCGCACTCTGTAACATCATTTCTCTATACACTCGCATAAAACGAATAGCGGGAGACGTTTCTCTAGACGTATTCGGGCCCATTGTGAATGCTCTATAACCAAGTAATAACAGCGTTTTCATTATATGCCACACGCACACTAAAATAATACAAAACAGACAAACTCATGTACTCTTGTTAAATTTACATACACTTATACGACTATACATAATGCAAAAACAGATAGACTACGGTTGGAGATTGCAAAACATGCCTAGATTAATGTTTTCTCACCCCCAACTGGTACGTCTCCAGTGCATTTCTCTTGCACTACAGATATCTCTCGACTTTCACTCTTTTCCTCTTGCTCACAAGCCAACAGGTTTCTTCTCTTTGTTTTTCACATTATCATGTGACAGTTTGAAGAAGAGGGATGAAAAATTACCATATTAAGTCCAAGTCCTTTTTTTATCCTTTCAACTGGCAATGATTGTCCTGTAAATTAAATGAATTAGTATAAAAGACACGATGAAAGTAAAGGAAAAATAAAATCATGAAAGAAACTCTTGTTTTAGTGCAATGCAAATGCATACGTGTAGACTAGAATTGAAAAAGTCAATTAGTCTGGAAGGATGAATGAATTGGAGCGGAAGAGAGCTTGCGTTACAGTGGGCCTAGAAGAGACGAAGAAGGAAAAACTGGGTGCAAACCCATCCTCTGAATCGGGACGACTGAACTGGATAGGTTAGTCAATGGGGTAGGCTATTGTTTAGGTTTAGCACAATCACAATTGCCACGAGATTATGCCTGTGGACGAACCTTCATATATAGCACACCAAGAGACATGTGTGGAATAAAATCTGTTGTTTTCCTTGTCTTTTTCACTACATAGTGCATGATTTATTTTCAAAAAAAGAACAAAAGGTTGTTGCACGCGACTCGCTAATTGTTTTCTGCCTTCTATGATTGATTCAACTGTAGAAAGGACAATCTAGAAATTCATTTTGTACCTTTTGTTTCGTTCATTTCATCACAACAATCTGTTTGTGCAATCAAAATCGAGATTAAAAACATTAATCTTGTTGCAAGAAAAATCAACAGTTTATATTTTTATTTCATTAAATTTATAAACTGTTGAAAAATCATCAGAATTATACAAACTGCTCTATTTGGTATTTAGGTCATGGACATTCTGCACTGATAGAGAATTATCTTGATAAGGTATTGGTTGTTAATGATAAAATAAATGAAGTAAATAAATAATCAATTCATTTTCATGCTTATTTTTTCAACAGTAGCAGAAGAAATGGGCGTGGCGAAAGCGAATTAAGCGATTCAGAGTTGTATATTAGCTACTGAAGGGTGAAAGAACGATATTTCGCGGTGGCGCATTACGATGGGGTGGCGTGGTTTGACAACGGTATTAATAAAGTTCCCAAGAGACGGCTAGGGCGTTTCGGGGCGGCGACATTGTGTCTCCAATCAATGGCTATTCTGATTCTATTATTGTTGCCTTTGATTTCTCATAATCTTGGTCATGTCTTATTCTATTCCTATTATAGTCATCTCGTATCTGGTCTACTCCAAAAACTATTACAATTGTCCCATAGTCCAGGAAGTCAACTATGAGACTGTGTAGATATTCCAAGTGACCTTTAAATATTTCAATGAAAATTAAAAACTATTACAGTAAAACTTAATAATTAATTACCAAAATGAAAATTCATTTGGTGAATGTTGAGTTGTAATTAATTAAAATTTCTCTTTATCATTTAAGTTATTGGAAGTTTTTTTTCCAATGTAATTAAACTGATGAGTCGTAAAATTGAAATTTGATCAAAAGTTTGATTTATAAAGAAGAAAATTAGCTATGCATTCAGTAAAAATATATTAATGTCGTGATAACAATCTGGAAGTTGAATATTTATAATATTTTAAGAATATATATTAATAAAACCAGAACTAATATGAATTATGATATATAATAAAAAATGGTTCAAATTAATTTTACAATTCATTTTTCTTCAGGGATAATACTGATGAGAATGTTTTAAAAAATAATTTAGTAGGAAATATTAAATTCATAAAAAGAAAAATTAGCTTTTGCAATCATTGAAGAAGAAGCAATAGAGAACCTATATTTTCATAAGCAAAACATATTTCTGGAATAATATATATTCTCGTAATAGCTACATAATAAATGGCATATTAGAGCTCGTGGACGATGCAAAGCTCAGGTAAATGAATACTAGCAGTAGAGTATACCAACAAGTAAAATATGTATGTATTTACAGAGTTATAGAAAAGTCAGAGTCCAGGAAGCGGTGTGGTAGCGGGAAGCATCAGACAGAGGCACACAGCCCCAAGCCATGTAATTCATTACTAAAGCAATCTCACCCTGACTTCAACTCCCTTCTACCCCTGTTTCTTCTCTATCCCTCTCACTCGCTCTCTCGGTAGATTCCCTCCGCCCCTGACCCATCAGCCTCCCGCACCACGTTATAATATAAAAAAAGCCGAATAGAGTAGCGCGCTGACAACAAAACAAACATGAAATACAAAGCCACGTTCTCATAATTAAAAAGATTGCGTTGTGCGCTTCTTCCCCGCCTCTCTTCACCCCACGGTCTCCCTTTTTTCCCTCAGACTTGCTCGTTTTCTCCTTTTTTCGTTGAAGGGGTGAGGGAAAAATTTCGCCAGGATATAACGGGTGATGATATTTATTCCATTGTCATCAGCTCGTTCTTACAATTCAACTAAATTAAACGTCAGTCTGTTTTTACTTCGACGACAATAATTTTTGTTATTAAAAATTACCATCATTTTCCAATTTTCAAAGAAGTTTGTTTTTGTACTTTCTACATATTAATGTAATTGAATTAACTAACTTTTTATTTTCCATTCAAAGCACTCGATAGGGCTGGAATCGAAACCACAATCGAACGGAACTAACTCAGCAAAAGCCTCAGAAAAACGTGAGGCAGAAAAAGGAAGACAATGATTGCGATTTAAAGATAGGTGGTGGCTATCCTTAACTTTTTCTCTGTCTTTCTCACTATGAAGCTGTGTATATTTTCATGTAGGATATGCATATAGATAACAGTTACATGTGCTTCTACGATTTTCATCCCCTTTGCTCCAGTGACTAAGAGGGTGTGGGCCACAGAGAGAACCGCCTCTGTTGCAACCTCAACCAATGATATTCTGCGCAACCCCCAAGCAACCCTTGATCGTCGCGAGGGATGCTGCTAACTCTGGAGAGCGCTGATTTTTCAGTCTCTCATCATCACTTGGCCCGCTCTAAATCTCCTGCATTTTTATCGAACTCCTCAAGTTTTTACACATCAAGTTAATTTTATTGATGACGTTAGTCTTCCTGAAAGTCTTCTTAAAGTTTGATATTATTATCTTTGGTGATTAATTAGTGGACTAAGGAAGTTAATTATTATGGCTGGACCTTATTTATCTCCTCTTGGACCACAAGCTGATCTTCTTACTGAATACATGTTCGGCCGACGGCGTCAGGTCAGTGTACGTTTCTTTTTCATCTTATGTTTCATCTTAATATCACTTACATGAAGTGATGACGAATTGATTGATATGGTGAAGTGAATTGAATATTTTTCAATGTGAATTAAATTAAATTCCACCGCTCCAAGGCTGTGATAAAAATTATCTTCCACCTTATTATGAGTTACTTTACAACAAAGATTTATTTAATTTTCTCATCTTTATTTGACGTAGAGACGCAATCGGACAACTTTTACTCCTCAACAACTCCAAGAACTTGAGTCTCTTTTTCAAAAGACTCATTACCCAGATGTTTTTTTACGTGAAGAAGTTGCTCTTCGTATCTCACTATCAGAAGCACGAGTTCAGGTATTTGAAGGATAAATTTCAAATTATTATCTGTCAAATTTCTCACTTTATAAGTAAACTTTGATTTCTGTTATCTATTTCAATTCAGGTGTGGTTTCAAAATCGTAGAGCAAAATGGAGAAAACAGGCTCGTCTTCAACTTCTTCAAGATGCTTGGAGAATGCGTTGTTTAGGTTTAGGAAGTGCAGCACCACTTCTCTTACGGCCTCCTCCTACTTCAGCAGTAGAAAGGTCCGATTCTACAACTCCTCCATCGGCACCTGGTCTTTCACCACCACAAGTACCACCAGGAACGCCAGAAAAGTTGGCAGAAAATCCTCAACATCCAGTTTGTAGAGATTATAGGATCCTTCCACCTCATGGGTAATTTTTTAAAAAATATTGGTCTTTTTAAAAATTAATTTGCAATTAATTGAAAGTTGGTTTCATTGGTTATAGCTATCAAATAAGCTGTGAAAAATCTCCAGAGCAAATAAAGTGCGGTTGTGGATCACCTTCAAGAAATTCTATGTCTCCTAACAACATAGAAGTGGATTTGGCACCAAGAGACCGACCTCAAGAAGCAGAAATGGATCTGACTATCAAAACACCGCTTCCATCACGACACCCACAAATTCCACCACTTTATCATCACCTTCCCAGTGAACCAAGACACGATCTCAGTCCTGCCGCGAGATCTGTCGACGAGCCACTGGACGTTACTCTAAATGGAAACAGAAATAATAATTAATCCAAGGATTTAATGAAATAGTTTCGTAAATATTTTAGTCAATGTGTTTCTGTGATTTTTAATTACTAACTTTGTCAATCAACTAATTCGTGATGAGCATCTATGTGGAAAAGATTACACGAAATATTTCGTAAATATCAGTTTTAAATTGTTCCTTATTACTTGAAGAATATTTCATACAATTAATTGAATCAAATAGTGCTCAATTGTTCAGTATAAATAATGAACAATAAGCTAATTATTGTGATTCAAGTATTGTTGATATCAAGAATAGCTTTTTATTATTTAGGTTAATTAAAAAAATCTACTTTATCAAGCATCTTCATATAAGTGCTCATTCATATTCAAAGAATCTAAAAATAAATGATCACAATAGTTGGAAAAAAGTTTGATAATAGTCAAAAATAGCAAACAACAGCAATTCATTAATTCGGGAAGTAAATTAAATTTCAATTATTCATAAATTCATTTGCTTTTTTTTCAAAAATATTTTTATACTTGATTATATAATTGGTTCTCATTTTATTAGTATGGAATTTTCTATTAATTAAATTTATTATTTAAGGAGATGATATTAAGATAATTTTTTATTAATAAAATTCAGTATTTTAAGGGTCTTGTAAATATTTACAATTCGCATATCTCATACGTATACTAACAACAGTAACAACAACGCCAGAACTGTAATTACTGTGTAATATTTTACGTAGTTACGTCTAGGCAAAGTATCATAGTAGGATGATAAGTGAGGAGTTCAGTCATAGTTGATAACAAAAATTATGTAAGAGAAATAAAAACCACATTTTTGTGATTTCAATTGTACTTTAATGATCACTTTTAATTGATTATTAAATTTGCAATGCGAAAGTAAGTTTAATGATTTATATATCATCATCAACTCTATTTGATCGTATGCCAGGAAGTTCTAGAGAACTACTGAGATAATTATTTCCTTATTTCATGGAAAATAAAATAAAACTTGGTTTCTACAATTTGTTACCACAACATGAATAATTCGTCACAATGCAATTGTATATTTATTTAAATTTAAGTTAATGACAGAGTTTTTTCTTCACTCGTGCAGAAAATTAAAATAACAGGATAATGATATGATTAGTTAATCAACCAAGTGGGTTTATGAAGTTGACGTAAGAAAGAAGCAAAAAGAAAAATGCAGAAATGAAAGAACACAAGTCACTCTGTCTGTGGATACACATTCCCTCCAAGAGAAGAAGCGTTTTACAAGAGTGAAGGAATGAGTTAAAAATAAAATATCTGAAAGAGATAGAATAGTGACGGGGTTATGAGTTTTCTCGTGATACCTTTCAAGTTCAGTTCTCGCGGGACCGTCAACCTCGCTGTTACTCGCGTGTTACATTATACATAAACATTTTACTTAAAATGCTGACGATTAACATTTTGTGAATGTAAAAATATATAATATTCCTTTCTTAGTAAATAATAAATTTATAAATATTGATAGCTTAATAAATAAGGTGAGAATTGTTTAATAAATATGATAAAGATGTCTTTACAACCAATTTTTGTTCTTTTCGATTGAGTTATCCAATTTTATCTTACTTGTTAATGATAACAGAGAGCTAAGATAATTAAATCAATCAATCAGAATTCGAGAGGTTCAAAGAGTAAATATCTAACACATTTTAACAAAAAAATAATCAGTGATTTCAATAAATATATTTTCTGATAGTATTTGATTACTATTTTATCATATTGACTTCCATAAAAAAAATTTTTTTTTAATCCAAATAATTTTTTTCTGAGTATTTTATATAAAAATATTCTCTGCAGTTCAACGCTGAGTGAATAAAAGTGATATTTTATTCGATAAAAATATTAAATGAATTATATACCAAAGGTGAATCCTTATGCAATTAATAATAGTTATAATGCAGTTTCAAGTATAGCATTCCTCAAGTTGTGACTAGTTTTAAAAAATATTATATTTTCTAGGAAATAATTGTCCATTGTCAACTTTTACAACTTAGCAATAAAATAAAAATTGATTAGTTTAGTTAGTTTTTAAAAGAAAATATAAACTGGCAACAATGTATGGAAGATAGAACATTTTTGTTGCAAGCACATAGAGTTTACTTTTTGTAGAAGTACAAGCAAACTTAATATTGTCTGTGCGTGAAGGAAATTGCTGATTACAAACAACTCATTTAAATATAGTCAGTTAGACACACATGTGTAAAAATTTTTCAGCGGTTCTCACATCGTAGTGATGCACTCTTTTGCATCAATTTAAACAATCATCATTTATTTTCTGCTTCAGAGAACGTTTCATTCTCGATCAAATATTGTTTTCTAAGCTATTGTTTTATCTCTTGATTAATTGTCATAATACTTTAATAAAACTCGTCTTTCTTTTATTCATTCTATAGAATTAAAATGATGCTATTCGTGATCTGGATATTCTTTTTAAGTACTTCAATCACTCAACAAACCACGTAAGTAATAAAGAAAATTAATTCGAAAATTTTGAATTAATAAATGATTACTGCAAACAAATTTTTTTTTTGTTAATATAAAAAATAATAGAGTCATTGTGATTATCAAGCTATTCTGGAATAAACACCAAGTGATTATGTATCTATAACTGGCCTTGAATATCTAAGTTCCAAAGTTACAACACAGTTTTATCCATAGCTTATAATAATATTTTAATTATTATTTAAAACATTTATCTTTAACGTAATTAAATATAAAGAAGAGCTATTACTTATGAGTTTTGCTGAATCCTTTTCTGGATTTTATAATCTCATTCTCGTTGATGTATTAATTGAAGTTAATTTCAATAGAATAAGTGATTAAAAATTTATCAATTAGTTTTTTCCGGACATTTGAATGTATCAACAATCAGTGCCAACGCACGAGCCAGCCAATCTCGATCATTGACCCAGGACAGTTAAGGCTCAAAGGTCATCACACAACATTAGCAGCATGCCGCTTAGTTTGTGGTTCACTTGGAGGTCTTTGGCCAGTACCCACAGGACCTGTTAATATTGGAAAAAATGTAAACCATATCTAACATTTCTTCACTATTTTATCATTAATATTTGGAGCTTCAAAAAATTTCTTATATCTTCAAATTCTTGTTTTTATTTTTGTTTACAGTATGTATCAACTCATCCAAATGAGATTCGTTTTGACTTGAAAGACATTCCCCCATCAACTAAGCCTTTTTTATCTGAAATCTTAGATATTTTTGTAGGAAATTTACGATGGATGTGTGGGGAGAAATGTGAAAGATCCAGTTCTACGGTCATAGTTCATCTTAAAATTAGTTCTGAAGATCTAAACCTTGACTGGAATACCAATGAAGAATATACTCTTCAAATATTTACAAAAGGTATCATCGATTGTATTCTCACCAATAAATTATATAACATCGATGAATGGAGAGATTTAGAATCATCGTAGCTCATAATTGCTCTTAGATTTGAATATTGCTTTGAAAAAAAAAAATTAGTAGAGCATTGTTACAGTTATTGCAACCAGCAGTGCACTAATAATTCATTTAATAGTTTAATAGTTGGAATATGCTTGATATTAAACCACTAAGTAAATTCTCATGACCACTGTGGATAATAAAATCAATCGTTTTTATTTTAAAGAAGGAAAAATCGATGTTATTGTGACGGCATCCACAGTATACGGAGCTCGTCATGCTCTAGAGACTCTCTCTCAGCTTTTCGCACCGGTCATTGAATCCAGTCATGCTACAGGAATGGTCGTGATTGACCAAGCGAAGATCCAGGATAAACCTATTTTTCCACATCGAGGGCTTTTAATCGATACTGCTCGGAATTTCCTGCCAGTTTCGGCTATCTTGAGAACAATTGATGGTCTTGCAGCTACAAAAATGAACGTTCTTCATTGGCATGCTACTGATACTCAGAGTTTTCCACTTCAAATCAAGAGTAGACCTCTTATGGCCCAGTAAATTAATTTATTCAATCAATTTTCAAATAATTGAATCATTATCGAAATTAATTTTTAAAAAATTGATTGAAGAATTTTTCTAGGTATGGAGCTTATTCTCTTGATATGATTTATACTCCTGAAGATGTTGATCACATTGTTACATACGCCAAATATAGGGGTGTAAGAGTAATACTGGAACTTGACTCTCCATCTCATGCTAGTGCTGGATGGGAGTGGGGTGAGTCTGCTGGATTAGGAGCTCTCGCTGTCTGCATGCATCAAGAGCCTTGGCGAGATTATTGTATTCAACCACCTTGCGGCCAACTTAATCCAGTTAATCCAAAGACAATAGATGTCCTAAGAGATATTTACAGAGATATGTTATCACTTGTAGGAATGAACAATATTCTTCATCTAGGAGGAGATGAAGTAAATAATTATTTCTATATTATAATATAATAGATGAACAGTCTAATTAACTTTAAATTTTATCGATTAACTTTTTTAGGTATTTATTAATTGTTGGAATACAACAGCAGAAATAATATCAGCTTTGAAAGAACGTGGAATGGGAAGAGAAATGAGTGATTTCTTACAACTTTGGGGTGAATTTCATACGAAACAAATAGAAATCCTCGATGAAATAAAAGAAGGCAAAAAAGATTATGCTATACTTTGGAGTTCAGCACTAACAGCTCCAGATGAAATAGAAAAATATCTCGATAAAAATAGATTTATCATCCAAACCTGGGTGGAATCGTCAAATGAATTAGCTGATGAACTTTTAGATCGTGGATATAAATTAATCATTTCTACAAAAAATGCATGGTATTTAGATCATGGATTTTGGGGTACTACTAAATATCATTCTTGGAGAAACGCTTATGATAATAGAATTCCCAGAAGAGTACGTTTAATTAATTTTATAGCATGCTTTTTCATAAATAATTAATACTTACCAATTATAGGAAGGTGTTCTTGGAGGTGAAGTCTGTATGTGGGGAGAATACGTGAATGAAGGGGGATTGGATTCACGAGTATGGCCAAGAGCAGCAGCAGTTGGTGAACGGTTATGGAGTGATTCACATACCTTAAAAACCCGAGATGCTGAACCACGTCTTCAAAGCCATAGAGAAAGACTGCAACTTCGACAAATTCATGCTGATGCTATGTCTCCGACTTGGTGTGCACAGCATGCGACGAAATGTTTTTAATTTATTACTAATAGAACAACTGTTCCAACAAATTAAATATACCACAATGTGTTAACTATGTTTAAACAACATATTCAATGTGATAATCAATGCATTAATTCTGTAAATATTGTAATTTTTTCTAAATTGGTTAATAAAAAATATTTTAGACTTTCTACCGGTTTGTTTACATAAAAAATGGCGCATTTAAGAACTTGAAAAAGTAGTTCGAGAGTGCTAATGGCGCTTGAAGAGGGCGCTACTGTCTAAAGGCTCATGAAAAAACAATAGTGCATTTCCGCCCACTTCCAGCTGATATTTCAATATTTGTTGATCGATTTCAGTAATCAGAAATAGCGCTTCTAGAGATAGTTACTCATTTATATTTAATTAATCAAGTCTTCCGTGTTTAAAAATAAATTAGCTTTCATGAAATGCTAGTGTCAGTGAATAAAAGAATTTCGAAGACTGAAAGTCTCTCCAACGGAGTTAATCCTTTTTTCCATTCTTCAGGTTATACTTTGAAGTAATCATGTTTTTATACTGATAATGTTTTAATTTCGAGAAACTTTTACCTCTTTACCCATCCATTACCGGGTTTTTAATTAATAAATTATTGAATTAACTGATTGTCAGTATAAAACAATTTTTCATTCTCTTTGACAAGGTAAGAAATTAAAGAAATAATTAATGTATTTATTTCAATGTAGGTCATTATTTCCTTTCGGTTCATACCAAAGTCAATGTTTAATAATAATAATAATAATTATTATTATTATTATCATATAATATGCTATCAAAACTTTTCATTTGTATGATGTCGCAATTAATTTTCTAAATGGAATTTTTTATATTATTTTTTCTAACATGACTTTAATCATGTTCAAGTTTTTATTTATAAAATTAATTTTTTTTAATTATACAACTAACGACTTCCTTTGATTGTTTTTTTATTATCTATAAAATGATTGAAATAAATTATTATCAAAGATAAGCTGTTCATTATTATATTCAAATAAGTTTTTATTGCTAAAACGTGCTTATACATAAATTTTAATACATTTAACTGTTTATTTCATGAACTAATTTATTATCTATGTTATCTAAAAATCAAAAGTCTTATTTTAATCGGATAAAAAAATTGCTATAGTGTATAAAAATTGCATGACTTACTAATAAGAATATTTTATCAAGAGAAACCTAACACATTTTGTAATAATAATAATTTTTTTTTACAGAGAAACAACAATGAAAAGAATGGATATAATCGATATTGAAAGTATTGAATCCAATGCTCGACCACTAAAAAATTCAAAAGTAAAATGCAACTGTATTAGTTCTAATTCAATTTGTTATATCGTTGTGACAATTGCGACTTTAGCTTTTCTAGGAGCTATCGTCTTTATTTGTAGAGACTACATTGAGAAATTACTGTGCTGGATAGAGCATCAGAATGTTTGGATTATTATTGTGATTGTGATATCACTTTTTACAGTTGTATCCTTTCCTATAGTGATTGGATACTTATTTCTTATAATTGCCAGTGGATACCTTTTTGGTATTCTTAGAGGCATTACATTGGTTGTGTTAGGAGCAAATTTAGGTATAGCTGTAGCACACACCACTCTCAGTGCTCTTTCAACGAAATTACCCATTGGAGCACTTTTGAGAAGTGAAACTGCCCGAGCAATATTGAGAGTTATTTCAGGACCTCAAGCATTTAGAGTTGTTCTTTTCGCAAGATTAACTCCGATACCTTTCGGTCTTCAAAATACTATTTTTGCTGTAAGTATTTATTTTGCTCCAATTTATCATAAATCAAGAACTCAGAAAGATTATGTGCATACATGTATGAATCTATTTGCTCATTTTGTTTATTTAATATTAATTACTAGTCATGATTATGTATTCTGCAAAAAATATACAGATTTGTTTTTTAAATAATGTATTAGCAATTAGTTATTCAAATGTATTTTATAGTTTTATAATGCTCAATAATTATTATTGATGATAATGAAATTTAAAATTATGTTTAATACTTAATACTCAATACTTTTACTTTTAATTTTGAAGGTCAGCAATATCAGTGGTCTACGATATCACATTGCCAGTGCTATCGGCTTGTTACCTGCCCAATTGATAAATGTCTACCTTGGCAGCAGTTTGCGTTCCATGCAGGATGTATTATCAGATAAGTCAACTGCTACAACAGGGTATATAGTGTTTTGCTTTCAAGTACGTAGAAAATATTTTTAATTTGTTAAAAAATTTTATTTACAAGCTAAAAAGTTCTTATACGAAATATATGTAACAGATACTCATCGCTGTTTCGCTAATGGTTTATGTGGTACAAAAAGCTCGAAGAGAGCTCCATCTTACTCTGCTTGAGGCAGACCTTGCATCTATGACTGACTCACATTATCTCCATGATGTAATTCCTGATTCTAAAGGATCACTTGCGTAATTAATTATGCAGAAACCGAAACAATTTAGACACGAGAAATTAAATGATAAGATAAGACTGCTATTATTGTGACAAAAAAATAACGCATGGCCTAGATTTCTCGCGTATATTTCTGATGATAATGATCAAGAAAACAGTGAGTGATGTTTAAGTTTGTGCACAATTAATTTTAGTTTTTGTGCCAAAAATAATGTTAATTTATGACTGAACCATTCAAACGCTATTGTATTTAACCTTCCATTTATATAATTTAATTTTTTCGTATTTGTTAATATGAGTTTTATAAGTATATTTTTTTCTTATATTATTTATGTTAATTTTTTCATTGTATTTTATTTTTACATGAAAAAATTGCAACACTAATAGATGAATAATTTACGGAAGAATGATTTATTTCAAAGTGAATACATTTTCAGATGTATTCATTTATATTAAATTAATCATTCGACACCTGTACACATAATCTTACATATTAGATTTTGTGAAATGGATAAAAATATTTTTTTAAATTAATACGTGTCTTCCAAGTGAAAAATTGTGTTAGATTTAGTTAATAGCACGTTAATCAAATGTAAAAATTTCAATTGCTGTGTTTATAGTAATAACTATTTTTCTGATATTATTATTAATCATATTAATGATTTAACTTAAGGTTTAACAGCATTTTATTCAAATAAACTTATGTACATAGATATTATATTAAGTATATGAACACCTGTGTGAATAATCGACACGGTTAATGAGAATGGTGAAAAAAAAATTGGTATAAAAAATATACTGCAATATTTTTCAACGATTAAAGAGATAATTTACAAACTCTTAAAGAATTAATTTTTGACGATTGCTGTACATTGAACATCAGTTGAAATAATTCCATTCCACTTTTTGGTATTATTTTTTATTTACAGTTGATCTATTTATAAAGATTAATAAAGTGATCCTTAACAATTAGATTAGAAAATCAAAAAGCAAAAAAAATTGCAACTTCTGAACTGATGTATTTTACAATTAAATGATCTGAAAAACGATGCCAGTAATTTAGAATTGACCGTATAATATTTAAATGTTAACCGTATTCTCTTAATAATTTATACAATTGTAAAAAATGTGTATGATATAAAGATTCTATTTATCACAGATAAGATCTTGTTTACTTAAACACCTCCAAAAAACACTGACTCTTTATTTACTATATTTTGATCTCGATGTTTTTCTAATGATCTTGTTAGAACCTCTATTGTGAAATCTGCATCTTCTTTTGTAATGCACATAGGCGGTTTTATTCTTAGCACCTAAAAACGAGTATAAATAATTGTGAAAAATCAATAGAATGATTTCTATCTTAATTACGTCAGAGGAAGAATTAATTAAATTGAACGGCAAGAGAAATCTTACATTTCCATGAACTCCACCCTTTCCAACAAGCACTCCCATGTCTTTTATGTCTTCAAATAAATCCAGAACTTGTGTCGAAGGCATTGGTTCTCGTGTTGTAGCATTTGAAATTAATTCTATTCCAATCATCAAGCCTTTTCCTCTTACATCTCCTACTATTGTTGGATGATCCAGCATTAATGTACTCAAACGATGTAATAGATGAGTACCAACTACTTTTGAATTTTCTTGAAGACGTTCTTCTTGAATAATCTGATATTAAACCATAAAAATATTTTAATATGCTTCTTAATTCTAAATATTATTAAACTGTTAAGAGATGCTAGATGATTTGAAAGGATCAATACGTACATCAAGAACTGTTTCACCTACAGCACAAGCTAAAGGATTGCCTCCAAAAGTATTCACTCTCATAGCTTTATTCAAGGATTCAGCGATTTCTTTAGTAGTCACTACAGCACCCAAAGGAAAACCATTACCAATGCTTTTAGCCATCGTGACAATATCTGGCATGATTCCATGGCCTTCAAAGCCCCAAAAATGGTCCCCAGTCCTACCAAAGCCTGCTTGAACTTCATCAGCAATACAAAGACCTCCTTTACTTTTCACAAATTCATAAACTTTCTTTAAATAAGTCCTTGGATACTGTACGACTCCTCCAACGCCCTAAAAGTAATAAAATACTATCATTGAGTTGATAAAGTAGTTATGAAACTTATAAATTGCGCTTAATTATTAAGCTGTATGATTTAAGATTTTTAAAAAAATTTCCCGTCAATCAAATTATAGTTACGATAACGATAGCAACAAATAAAAAACAGTTATTACTTGAATGCTTTCAGAAATAAAAGCTGCAATTTTTCCAGAAGATGAAAGTTCATGATTGAATGTATTTTTCAATTGACTGAAATAATTTTCTGCAGCCATACACTCATTTCCGATGCATTGACAATTACCTGGACGAGATATTGGACAATCTCGACATTGTGGACCACCCCAAAGACCTTTATAAACATCAGGATTCATCACCTGAAATGCAAATCTTGGTGATTTATGTTTATTAATATTTTTTTATTGACCTTTATCGTAAAATTCACTAACATGATGAAATCCTGGTGCAAAAGGTACTGGATATTTTGCTATAGACATTCCAGTAGCTGTCTGAGTAACATAAGTACCTCCATGATAACCATTCTGTAGAGAAATAATTTCTTGAGCGCCTGTATAAAGTCTAGCTATTAAAAAGGCCAATTCATTTGCTTCAGATCCACTATTGACTAGATAAACCACATCTAACTTATCTGGCATCTTTTTTTTGAGTTTATTTACATAATCGTAGTATTTTGGATGCATGTAATGTACAGTTGTAAGGCCTAACTTGGAAATTTGTTTCGATACAGTTTCAACAATTTTTCTACAATGCAAATCAGTTTATTTTAATACAAAGCCACTGTCAATATTTTTTAAAAACTTACGGATGCGAATGTCCAACACCTACGGTGACGATTCCTGCAAACATGTCAAGGTATCGACGGCCTGTATGATCCCAAAGCCACTGGCCATGACCCTCATGAATAAGTAGAGGCTTTTTGTAAGCAGGTCGTTCACTTGGAATTTCTCTTGAAGCTCTAATGAATTCATAATCGGCACCCTGTCATTATAAAATATTTCTTTAAGTAATTATTTGAAAAATTACGTAAAGATTTACTTTCGAACTATTACTTTATAGATTGGAGTTGGATATTTACAAGCTGGAAGGTCAGGCAATGAGCTAAATCTTCTTAACTGACTTTGATTGATGTTGATACCTTCAAGAAGAGAATATAGTTTAGAATATTTCTGATTCATTAAATAGTTTATAAAATACTACAATTATTTATTAAGTAAATAAATCTTCATAATAATTAGAATTGCAATTTATGGTATTATTTTAATTGCATAATTTTTTAAATAAAAATAGTTCATTAGAATAAAAAAGTAACAAGTGGTGTGTGAATTAATGAGTGCGAGAATATATAGGATATTTAATAAAATAAATTTGGAGATTCGAGAAAAAATAAACGAATAAGAATTAATATTAATAATTAATATTGTTTTACTGATACTTAAACTCACGTTTTAGAGACATGTTGTTAACAGAAGAATTAAATTGAATAAATTTATAAAAATGATTGACAAAATTAAGAAGGTATCTTCTGAAATATATGAAAGACTCTCGATGAAGGCAGAGTCAACACTGACTTCTTGATGAAATTTGAAAGTTGAATGGACTCGCGGGCAACGTTGCCGGATTAATTGAATGAATTGTACAAGAATTTTTTGCGTGAGTTGTTCATATCTGTACACGTGACTTTACGTCAGTTTACATTATGAAGTGGGAGAAAGTAAAAGTTGTTTACATCGATTTCTGATATGGATTTAAAATCCTAAAAAAACAAATAAATAATACTACTCTTGATATTTTTTCTACTTAAAAAGACTTTTGTGTTATCCCATTTTTGTGTTAATCAAAAAGAATCAATTATTCTTTATATAAATATAGTTCATTAGCACATTCAAACTCTTTCATAAATGAGTTATTGATAAATAACAATTTTTACTATGAATTTACGTTTATTTACAAAAATTACAGCCTATATTATCCTTCTATTTTTTTAGTTTCTTTTTCTATTCCAGATGCAATCCGTTGCAGCTCTTCTTGACTTCTAAATTTAAATAAGATGGGAATCTTTTCAAGAGCAGGATTTCTAATTTGTAGGCAACGAATCCAAGATAACAGAGAATCTTTTGTAGACGTTCCAGTTGCACAAACTCCGAAAATTGTCATTTTGTCTTGTTCATGTATACTACGTCTATGTACTAACTTTTTCTTCGCCCTTCTCCACAAAGAAATATCCATATTTGAAACATCTGAAATAAGAAATATAAAATTGAAAAATTTACTCTATTAATTTAATCATAAAAGAATAGCAAAATTTTAAAATAGCTTTTAAAACTTGAATAATGTTGTACCATCATTGTCAATATCTTCTTCTGGAGGTCGTTTGGTAGGCTCAGTATATAAAATAAAATAATCAACAGATATTTTCCCCACCCAGATTCTATTTGGACCTTCTACATAAGCAGGAACATCTGTAGGATGTGAAGCGATTAAATGTTCTTGGTCTGGACTTGATGCCGATACAATCCAAGTCTTATCAATGGAATCTTTTATATCCTCAGTATTAAAAACAGTAATTACACTTGTTACGTCAACACTGGCAATTTTTTGAATAGCTATTTTAGCAATTTCAAGTGTACTTGAAGGAAGAGGGCGAGGAATTGGCCATGGATTTATATTTTTAAACTTTCCTTGCCAATATGCCATGGACCTTAGTTTTCTTAATGGAAATCCATATTGCCCAAAAATATTTATTACCATGAGCTCCATTTCTGGATCCGGAACTACTCCATTGTCCTCCATTTGTTGTAAAAGATCTATAATACATTGTTGTTCTCGAGGATAATGCGACATTTCAGCCATAAATAAACTTTTAGCCACATATCTGCCTTTTGGTAAAGTATCTAAAAGTGCTTTATAAGCTTCAAGATCCTCTTCAACTCCAAATTCTTTCATATATCGCAATGCTGCATATATAAACCGTACATGTCCTATTTTTCGGTCTTGTTCAGAAGTGTACGTACGAAGTACATCTAAATATGCTTCTTTTGTCTTTTTATGGTATATGTGTGCAGCATCAAAAAGAGCTACTGATTTTTTTTGGTCTTCTTCATTCACATCTTTAAATTTTAAACTATTGGTGATGTGGTAGTATCTGCTATTTGTTGGTTTGAAGGTTCTAACATTTTTTAAAATTCTATTCAATTCTATCATTGATCGTAAATTTTTTGGAGTTATCATTTTCATTGTTGGTAACATGATGTAATTTTAATTTTTATTCTATTTCAAAATTATTATTTCCAATCTTTAAAAAGAAACTAGAAATATCTTCAAAAAATGGTTTCATTTATAACTGGTAGTTTCGAACCTATCTTATTATTCATAAAACACATTGTTTAAATACAGGATTTAAAAATTAAAAAACCGATTATAATTTCTGCTTCGCTATTTTGTATTATTAGTTTTTAATTGTTAAATTTGTTCAAGTTTTACTTGATCAGTCAACCAACAATCGTATAACCTCAAAAAGATGTTGAGTACAATGAATAAAAAGAATACTCAATAATTATGTTCTATTATATTCTTGAATAATTTGTATAATAGCATATCTAATAAATTATGGGAAGGTATCACAGTAAATTAAATATTTTTGTGTTTTTAAAAACACATTTCAATGAACGTAGGATGCCATTTTGAATGTACTATACGTATCAAAATATAAATCCGGAAATGCTAGCCACTACATGAGTGTAAGTACTTATTTTCAGGATTTAAAATAATAAAGCCAATTAATTTCACTAAATTAACGCAAATATTTTTCAAAGCAAACAGACCCTACAGAATTTATCAAAAATTTTTAGAAGTGAAGTTAAAAGTCAAAATTATTTGTTGTATGAAAAATTGTCTGTAGCTTATTTATAATAATTCAATAAATACAAAAGTAATATTCAATAGAATGTATTTTTTTCTATTATCAAGTTGCGTAAACATTATATTGTTTAATAGAAATCGTATAAAATTTTAATTATTAATGGATAGAAAGATAGGCATGTAGAATTTTATACAAATTTGTACAAAATATATTATTTTTTTTTTTGCCATTTTCTAATATCTTATAATTATATCATCATAAGAAGTATAAAATTCGTAATACATAAGGAAACTTATTATTGTATTATTTATTTAACATTAAAAATTATGCACTGATAAAGTCTTTTAAATTGGACGTTCACGAGTTCTTCTAGAAAATTGTTTTTCTCGTAATACTCGTGATACTTCAGAAGATTTTTCGTCACTATCAATAGACTTTTCATTTTTCGATACATTAGTAATACTTGTAGCTTTCTTTAACGCATCCATCCAATGCTTTTTATCGTGCTCATCTCTTACAAATAAAATACGATCAGCGATTTTCAATTCGCAGTCATTAACATCATCATGTTTTGTCTCCACCTGCATTTGTTCCTTAGAAATAACGGGATAAGTAACATTGTAATTTTGTACTCGTGACTTTATTACTCGCCTTGTGAGTACCAGACAAGTATCAAAAAGAAAACAATGAAGCTTGAAACCCCGGGTATCTTTTAGCTGTCCTTCTGTTATCAATTCTCGAGCAGTCTTTATGCATTCTTCAGGATCATATTCAGTCTTACTTATGATTTTTGAACGAGCTAATTCACATTTAGCTTCACCCATAGCTTTGTCTATCTTTTCTAATAATTCTGACAATAAAGTGCTAGCTTCTTTGAGTATTTCATAATCTTCATGATTTGACGGAGTCCTTTTTAATATTTCATTGACCAGCAAAGGATATTTAACGATCCGTGAACGAGTGACATCTAAGTAGGTCCATAGATCGGCTGCATGTGGTATTTCCATACGTTTTTTGAGGAAATCTTGAAATTTCTTACTTCGTAATTTTTTATTTTCTAAAATATGTCTAGCTAATACTTGAGATTTGCAACGATCGATGTACGGTTCAGTTAATGTAGGTAACCATTCAAGGATTATAGGTCCAACAGTATTTGTAATCCCCGATGAGTCCCTTAACTCTATCAGATCATCTCTCAATTTACTATGCACATGAATAAGCAAATCCAAATCTCCAAATAGAGTTCGTATTTCAGTAGGAGTAAAAATATCTGCTGATTGAAGAGGTTCGAAATAATTTTCCCTAAGCATCTGAAGATCATTTAGTAATACATTTTCTCCACAGTAAAGCTCATATATAGCTTCTTGTCGTTTTATTTCATTCCTACTTAAATTTAAATTTAATGAATCGCCACAACTACCAGCTATATCAGTCAACCAGCTATGTATCGTTAAACTACCAACTTGTTCGCACTTACTTCTCGTTCTGAAATAGTATGGAATTACATTTATTAAATCAGACTATGTGGACACATAAAATTAAAGTGAAGATTAGAATAAATAAATACCTTTTGCTTGGACCTGAATCAATATCTTCTTCATGAATCATTGAAATAGAAGTATTGTTGGTGTGAATACCAAATGATTTTTGTAATACATTGCTTAATCTACCAGATGTCGATGATGATAGAAGACTACTAGCCAATTCTGTTATTCTTCTTCTCTTTTTTCTTTTCATAATTGTGGAATCCAGGGAAATATCCATAGAACTAACACTAATTACATCGCTTTTTGTTCTCTTTCGCGATGATCGCTGTAAATATATAATTTATTATGCATTTAATTCATTCATTATTCAAATCATGCTGACTTTTAATTATATCTTAGAAAATTTATATTCATTATTCTATCTGATAAATAGTCAATAAAAAAATCCAATTCATAAGTGTCTAATAAAAAAATAAACATCAATTTTCGAGTTAATACAATACTCCACTTTATAAAAACAGTAATTGAAAATCAATTTTTTTTATTTGTATTCTCACCTGCCAAAATCTTTTTTTCGGTTCTTGAAATGTTTCATCAACATTTTCATCATATTCATCCATTTTTTCAGATAATTTAATATGTTAATGACATTTACTGAATATATTCTATAGGTGAAGCCATGTCCAATACAGAAAGCTGTATTCGCGTTATATAAAGTTTTTTCGATCAAATTCTTAGAGTAAGTTCAATTTTTTTTAAAAATCCTTAATGGTTACAACCATAAAATACTATTTTTTCACTATTTTCGTTCAAAAAATCACAAATATAATGCGTTTTGCATATAGACAGCCGATTATGAGGCAGGTGCTAGCTTGAGTTTGAGATTTTTAAATGCAATAAACGGTACAAAATATACATAATAATAAGCATAATATACATTTAGACTCATGAAGTTTATTTTCCAACTAACCAATCACAAGCTCATATTACTTTCGTTGCTTCTTGAGTATGCGCCTTAATGTAAAGGTTAGGTTAGTCAAACTTTTTTCATACAACATTACTCACTAGTTGTTATTTTACCTTAGAAATACTCGCAAGTAATATCCTACCATCAATTTCATTGTCACGGTCAAAATTCATGGTCTAGTATATTCGTTTACTACAATATGTGATACCGGTATAAAATTTTAAGTAATTTTCGCTATTATTGAATCTATCATTAAATTACACGTATAATTATAAAGTTTTTATGATGTCACCGGACATGAAACAATTCAGAGCTCCAAGAAAACATAAGGAAACTAGTTGTGTAAAAAGCATTAGGTAATTTAGAAATTTTGTGAGTATTATCTATTGCTAGTAGATAAATATCTTGCTATAATAAAAGTACAATTTTAAGAGGATTACCGACTTTGACCTGTTAACTTGTTAAATGCTTTTGAATTTACAATGGCATCTAAACAAAGTCCAGCTAAAGTCACACTGGGAATGATGAAAGGTAAATATTATTCATATTTCATCTGAAATTTATTGTTTTTTTTTGATGATGAATACAGTAACCATATTTTCTCTTTGAATGTTTTCTGTTTAAGGAAAACCAATCACTACATCTGTACCTGTTATTAAATATCATGCTAGTGATGATGAACTTGAAGAATTATATCCAAGTACTGATGAAAGCAAACCAAAGATGTCTGAATCAGCAAAAACGTCACCAAGATCAAGTCCTTGCAAAACTCCGAAATTAAAGTCTGGTGGAAATGAAAGTGATGAAGAAAATTCTGAAAAAAGATCTTCAAGCTTTGATTTATCAGAAGGTACACCACCGTCCGATCCTTGGAAAGTTTTGTCAGAAATAAGAGGTAAAATTACAAAAACATTTGAAGAAAAATTATCGGAAATTAAAAATGATAAAAAGAGTAAAAATAGAAGTCGAGAAAATTCTAGTGTGAGTGATATAGAAGATTTAGGAGACATTACTCCAACTGAAGATTCAACACCGGAAAAAGTTGAAATGGAATCATCTTCACCATCAAAGAGCAAGAAAAGTCATTCGCGGTTTAGATTTTCTAGTATAAAAACGGGATTAAAAGCAAAAAATCCACCGGATGAAAGTATCGAAAGTGGAGTAGAAGCGGCAGAATTAGCTGAGATTGATTCATCTCAATCGATAGATTCAAAAGGCCAAGAAATTTCAGAAGTTTCAAGTTCATGTACAGTTCAAAATTCAGTATATACTCAATTATTAGACTCGAAAACTGAACAAACCAAAGAGCATTCAACCAAACCACAAAAGATATTTTCTGAATTGAAATCTTATTTAATATCTCGAGGATTTGGTCTGTTGTTTTTTATGGGAATATTTTTTTATTTTATACCGTTATTAACTTTAATCCCAGGATTATTTGCTGGAGGATGTTTAATGTTTGGATTGCAAAAAATGTATAATCGCATTTCAGAAGCTATTACAATGCCAGTAGAAATCGAAAGAAATACGGAGTCTATACCAGTTGTTGAAATTCCAGCTGTCAAAGAACATGCTGTTGTTGATAAATTTGAGGGATGGTTAAATGAATTGCCATATAATTACGATCCAGAGAATTATCATGTAGCACGAACAAACTCGGTTTATTTTAAGCTTGAAGGAGAATCATTGAGGGTGATGGAAACCAGAACGCGAATTCCTAAGCGAGCAGTTTGGAATGAGCCACAACCAACAGCAAAATTTACGCGAAAGAGAGTCTACTCTCTAGCAGGAGCTAAAGTTGAATTATTGCCGGAGGGACTAACTCGTAAACGGTAATCACAATCTCATAAATTTTATGGCTTAGATGTCAAGTGAATTAAGATATTAAAGTGCGTTTAACATTTATAGGCGATGGAGCAAAAAATACCCCATATGTGTGACATTTGCACCAGAGGGATTAGTTGAGTCTATCGCGCTTGAGATTCCTTCCGACGATGATCTTCAAACAGAGGCGGAAAGAGAGAAAGTGATACTTGAAGAGGATGAAACAGATGAGGATACATCTCTTTCAAAAGACAGCAAAGATGTATATGAAGATTGTCGAGATGAGGATGATGATGATGAAGAAAACCTAAGAATAAAAATCTTTATTTTTGGTAGAACAGATAGACAGAAAGAAGATTGGTGAGTAATTCAAGCAGCGCAATATCAATAAATTATTTTCTAGTGGTATTTTGGTTAACAATGTAATCGATACACTTTATAGGTATAGACGACTAGTTCTAGCAACGAGATATTCTACTAAACGGAACTCGATACCGTCCACGAAGGAACTAACATCATCAGCCAGTTCTTTATCTTTATCTCAAACTTCGGGAGAGGGTAAAAATTCAACCGCAACACCAACTGCCGCCGATATTCCCATTGAATTATCGTACAATTCTTATATGTCACGATATGCTGATGTAATTTAATTTCTATTAATTAACCTTTGTCCTATAATCTGGAGCATAAAAATACCCAGTTCGATGTTTAGCCTTTTGCTACTACCCACAACGAATTTAGAAAATTGCTTCTGAAAATTAAATCTTTATAATTTCAAATAAACTATGACCTTTTTAAAAACCTCCAGGTTATATGTCACAAGTAAAAACTGTGAAAATTATTTCATTCTAAAAAAATGTATTTAAATTTATGTTTTAGACTTCTACGTCAACGATAGATTCTAACGCTTCATTATCAGACAACGATGGTCTATGGCTCAATGCACTTTTAGGTCGTATTCTTTTCGATATGCACAAATGTCCAGATATGATAAATGTCATTCAAGATAAAATTCAACGAAAGCTTTCAAATATAAAATTACCATATTTTATGGAAAGCTTGATGATATCGGAGCTTGTGATAGGACAAGGAGCACCATTTATTCACAAAGCTACAAAACCGGTAGTAGATGAGCGTGGATTATGGGTTGACTTGGATATCACATATGAATGCGGAGTAACAATGACTGTAGAAACCAAATTGAACCTTATGAAATTAACTAAAGCAGGTTCAGTTGCTCAAACTACTAATGATAATGGCGCATCTGATAAGCCCACACCTGCCAAATCTCCTATGTTCGATAGTGATATAGAAGACAGTCCAGAAACGTCTACAGAGGACGATGAAAGCATAAATATGCCAAGCAATACCTCTAGAGAATCAACGTAAATACATTTTTAAGTTTGTTTTTTTTTTCACTCCAATGAAATTTATAGTAATTAATTATTCTCATTGATTTATAGACCAACACAGTCGTCAGGAAAGAAGTTTCTTAATATGGTCGATAAATTAGCAGCAAATAAATATTTTCAGCATGTAAGTATAGAGTTATCTAGTCTTTAAATTCAAAAACTATAATATATCTCAATAATTCAATCAAATACGCCACATGTAGACCTTCACATCTTTCGTTAAGCCATAACAAAATTTTTTTTTGGTCTGGTCGTGCGAGAATGAGCGCCGAAATGATCCTGCCAGCTTTAATCCAGATGCCGCGTTTGGATGGTAGATGAAAAACAAGTTTACTTATCTTTCTGTTCATAGGCCACTGAGTTGACTTACGTTCGTAGGGCGATGGAAGGAGTTTCGAATACAGAGATTCGATTGTCAGTAAGTGTGTCTAGTATAGAAGGCTGTCTATCGGTAAATATCCCTCCGCCACCTTCTGATCGTCTTTGGTATGGATTTAAACCAATACCAAAAATAAGTCTGGACGCTCGTCCAGCAGTTGGTGAACGAGCTCTCAATATTGGATATCTTACGAATTGGATAAAGACCAAATTGTTGAAAGAATTTGACAAGGTCGTAGTTTTACCAAATATGGATGATTTAGTGATACCACTCTGTCCAAATTATCCATATCATACTTCACAATAACGATTTAAATAACGAAAGATGCATCAACATCTACTTCATTGTTATTACATATTTAAGAAAAAAAGCATAAAGCCTGTGTCTTTGAATGTCGTTGCCTACGTGTGCTTATTTAAATTCAAATTATTTATGTTCAATATAATAATTTATCAATATTTATCACTTATTTTGATCTTTAATTTATTTAAATATTCAATAGTTTAGATAAATTTTTAACAACTTTTTCTATGTGATACTATTACTAATCATTATGTATATCTAAAAAACATTAACTCTTAATTTGAATGAAATATTAATGGTTGTGAGAATTTTCCCATTTTTTGACACTTTCGTAAGATAAAAACATTTAATTAATTATTGATATATTTATTTTTTATGGATGGAATGCCATAAATTCAAATTGCGAATTAATAAACTAATAACGTACTAGCTATTATTAAAATAATCAATGAAATGATTCAGTGAACATGTGATGAAGTTTCAGATATAATTGATCATCGAATATGTGTATTGCAAAAATATTTAGTTTCTTTTTTATACCATTTTTTGCAACTACTCGTTTTTCATTTCTATCCAGATTTATAGTAATATATATTTTTTACTCTAATTTTATTCCTGCTAGTCATTTTAGGCAGCAGCTTTTGTGTTTTATAGATGTGATTATATAATTGTATTAGATAACAATAATAACAAAAAGAAAAACAATAATAACGTTGAAGATAATGATAGCAGAATATTAAATTTTGCTGGACCAATCAGTGATAAATGCTATTAAAAACATTAGCTAGATAAAATAACGCCAAAGGTAAAAAAGAAAAATAAGCCAAGATAAAAAAAAATATATAAATGTCATGTGGTATGCGGAATGATAATAATAATTGTCGGGAAATATGACTATGTTTTCTTTCACTATTGTATGCATATATGAGAACTTGGAGATTCACGTACTACATAATTCTTTCGACAATGGATTTCAATGAAGAAGAAGGTGTTGTGCACTCTCAATTAAAATATTACTGTTTTCTACAAGATTTCTCGCCTTCTTCATGTGTGTTTTCCATGTATTTGTTATAAAATTAATAAAACATTATATATTTGTTGAGAATATGACATATTATATAATAATGATTCTGAGAAAAAAGTTATATCTATTTTTCTAGTGAATTCAATTAATTTTTCTTTGTTGTTTTTTTTCATATTCTCTACTTTCAAAAGTTTATTATTATTTCAATTACTAGAAAACTTCTATTTATTAGCACATAAAGACACTTCTAATGACAGTAAGAATATTCTTTATATTGTTTGTATGTAATTAAAACAATGTTTGTTTTTTCCATTCTAAAGTTTATCATAGAATTTTATCAAATATGTATTTTTTTTCATTTAAATTATTGTTCTAAGGTAATAATAAAAATTGTTTCAACAATTTTTTTTTGTCACACACTCTTTATTAGTATATAAGCATTTATTTTATATGATTTTTCAATTTATCTCTTTAAATTTCTTACAAATCAATATCACAGTTTGGAGATCGACATCTTAATTTCAAATTATTCTATTATGTACACATAACAAGAAAAATATCAATATAATTATTTACACTCTCTTTACAGCCCTCATCAAAGAATATAACATCTATAATCTTAAATCTTTCTCTCAGCTTTTGAGAAGACAAGGTGCACTTTGGAGTTCTCGAACAGCTTCAGCCCAGGCTTCAAGTCTGGGGGCACAGGCTAGTGTAAGATCACCAAGTCTTTTCTTGGCCATTATCACAAATTCTCCTTGACCATGTCGCGCATCACAAGCTGTCGGTACCCTTACTCGGACTTCTCTTTGAAGCCGCAGATCACCAGAGTCTATTTCATTATCCTACAAGACATCAAAACAAGCAATTAATTTTTTTCCTCAACACAAATGAAACAGTCCGTCACTAAGATATTATCTTACTTATCTTGTTGCTTACCTCTGTTTCTTCAACGCGCCGTAGAGTTTTTGTGACTCTCAGAATGATCTCAGCAGTATTAAGATCAGATCTTCTCTCCACAGCACTAACAGTTCCTCTGGCAACAAGATCACTCTTGCAATAAGTTTCAGCAAGTTCTTCCTTAGTACACGGTCTACATTCAGCTTCTTCATCCCTCCTATTATTTCTTCCATCATCTCTCGTATTTTCTAGCTCGAGGTCATATCGTAATTTTACAGTATTACGACCAGGCATCGGTTCATCAGCCTCCACATACAGAGCAGCTAATTGTCCTCTAGAGTGGAAGCATCGATGTAAGGCTTCATGTTTACCATCACCTGGAGCATAAACTAATCGTAGAGCTCCTTTGCCTTCGAGGTAAACACGAGCTGGTCCAGAGACTTTGACGCAGCCGCGGAAATTTTTTCCATCACTGCCACCAGAAAGGACGACTCTTAGAGCTCCCCTGGGATAACGCCAAGACACTGTACCCCTGGAGCAACGAAGGTAGACTGGACGAACGCCTCTGCCACCTCCACCACTGTAAAAATATTAAAATTACATGAGTGATTTATTTTCTATGAATTAGTCATCACAATTGGAGGGTTAGTCTTTATGGAACTTGCTGATAAGATTTGTTTGTTTTTGGGACCGACTGTGTCTATATTTTCTTCCGTCGGAGATGCTGATATGGCTAAATTCTCGCGCTACGAGAGTATGACATATCCCGGAACATTTATTTTGAGAGACTCGATAATGAGAAGAGATGCTGAAGAAAAAGCAAAAAAGAAATAATGCAAGGAACGACAGAGAGGGCCGTTCCCCTTTGTCATAGGGGACAGAACCGGTTTTCAAGTCGCACGACCGGTTTACATTTTGATAAAAGTTTACTTTCCTCCTGCGGCTATTAAATTATCGTCTCGCCTTGGCCAATACTTATTTCGCTCCCTTTAACGATTCAACAACTACATAAATGAGATGTGCAATACAAATTTGCGAATCAAAAAACTCAAGTTAATTTACCATTGCCTTATACATTTATGATATTTTTACAACTCAAAGTAATCATTTTCAATGATCATGACTCGTCAAAGAAAAACGATAATGAGTAAATTTATTGCAAACTTTATCAGTTGAATATTTTCCTAAAGAAGGTATTTGACTTCAAGAACATTGAGTACAGTTTTCTCGAAGCTAAATCGAACGGTAATATTTTTGCAAATAAGGAAAGGTAGCTAAGAATTTCAAGGATTTTGTATGTCGTTAGTTCCGCTTCTATTATCGTGAATTATAGCCTAGGGCCACACTGTTAAACTTGGCGAATGTGGAAGAGTGAAAGGTGCATGAATGATGAAAAACCTGGGAGAGAGATTTTACTACCAGAAATGGAACAGTCAACATTAATTCTCCATTCTCGGCAAAAGTAAATTATTTTCCAAGCATAATTAAGTAAAAGTAAGCTGTGTTGCACATTTAATTAATACAATTAACTATTTCGAAGTTTCTAGAGATTCATTTACCATCAATTACATATAGCACGAGTCATCTTAATGAAATCGTTAGTAGTTGCAAAATAATATAAGAATTTTCCAGGTAGATACTGACCTTCCAGTCCAATCACACTGATCCGCAGCGGGAACAGACGCATGTTCATGAGTTGGTGCCGCAGAAATTGACGCGGCAAAAATCCAAATTGAAGATAAGATGAAAATACCAAGATTCTTCATCATTTTTATTATGTTCACTGATTATTCTTCAGCGTTTAATTAAATCCAATTGAATGAACTCAATCACTTCATTCTAGATATATCCATAAATAGTAAATAGTTTTCCAGCTTTTCTAAACTTTCAATGATAACACTGATAACTGAATTCAAGTATCACAGATAAATATTCATCAAGAATAATGTCTATATTCCTGGATTTTACTACTGGATCTTTGTGAAAATTGACAAGTTGATTGTTGTTTGAATATCAAATTAATTTTGATGAAACGCAAATCACTTTTTTAAGGTAAAACACTCAAGAGTAAATAACCAGTATGGTAAATAAAACACCAATTAATGTTATCACTTTCTCGACTCGTCATGGATAACTTGGATGTAATCATAAACCAAACGATCGTTAACAACTGGACAACTCTCGGATATCAACATGACGATTTGCTCGTCACTGAACCAGGAATGAAACTGGCGTAGTGTGAGCCGCGCGGCAGAGCGTTAACCCAGTGGTTGAGTCTCCCCACAAGAGTGGTGTAGTTAGAGCTCCAAGTAGAGGGGGTTGCCCGTAGATCTCTGCCACTGACACAAACGCATTCTGGACTTTGCGTCACGCAATGATCACTAACGCACTAGCAGCCTCCAGTATTATACCAAAAAGATCAAGATCTTTCGCGCACGCGCAGTTTCTCTTATTCCAACAAAGACAAATTGGACGACTTTGAACTGGGTACAAACAAATCATGTTTTACATACAATAGGTAGAATATTTTTAGCATTTCCAGGTTGATTACTAGCTAAAGATCTCTAGTTTGCGGCGAAATTTAATGAGATGAATAGATTGTTGTTTGAAATAAAGGTATTTTTTTTTGAATAAGAATCAAAGTCTGCTTGAACTCGACATCAGTTTAAATTTCTCCAAGCTTATAGGAGCCTCCCACACTGTGGTACATTGATGGAGGGGGCGGGTATAGAAAGAGACAACCAACTACGGGAGGGTCCAGAGTTGGAGAGTAAAAGCAACAAGTTGGCCGGAGGCAACCTGTATATAGGTAGCACGCATGTTTAACGTTACTCCAAGTTTCTAGTTTGACTTCTCTATAGCTTGCTTAGCTACTTGGAAATGTTCCTATATGTACTTAAAGATGTTTCTCATCGCTTTTACGTAGTCTTTAAATGAAGGAGCGGCTGACAAATTATCATAATATAAATAATCTAGGTGGGCGCGCCACCCGTGGAGAGTGGACCAGCGAATTTTGACTCTGAGGCCAATCGTTTTTTCTATGAGATTTGGAAAGTTTCTGGCAGTTGAAAATAATATTACCTGAATTCCAGTGACAGCAATCTCTGGATAAACGAGAGTTTTAAGACAGAAAAAACCATGTAATGGATCTAAAGAAGAATTGGTATAATCATACAAGATGAACCGTAGCTAAAGAATATAGATTTCTTGGTAGAATTGACTTTGATTACATTACACAGATATACTTATACTATTGTACGATACATTAGAACTACTATATCCTTTATTATATTCTTCAATATAATCGGGATCAGTTAAGTAGTATATTTGATGACAATGGAATTTCTTGGTATAATTATTTGGCATTTAAACTACATGGAACTCACAAATGTTATCTTTTGAATATTGTCCAGTTGATGATCATCCATCTGAAATCTTGCCTACAATTTCTGCTAGGGCATCAGAAAGACATCTTTTCCTGGACAGAGAATAATCAATAATTAGTTGTGACTTGGTAGTCAATTGATTGATTGAATAGAGTAATAAAAGATTTTAACTTTTTATGATGATAGAAAACCATGTCAGATGGTTGAAATGTTTGTTCAAAAAAATGTATAAGAGATAAAAGATAAAATTTTCATTTTTAAGTATTTTTTTCTCAAGTATAAGATAATGACTCTTTTAGTAAATAGCTTTATATCAGAAACAAGCAGCTGGGCCTTAAGATATACCAAAACCAAAGCACTTCTAGTGTATTTTTAGGATTTGGGATTTTTTTTTGGAGGTTCTTGGGCTTATTTTCATTTCATTAATAAAATAACTTTGCTTATTGTGCAACTTTTAAACAATTAAAAATAAATGTTGATCTTTGAGAAATGTTTGATCTTGGGGATTTAAAAGACAAAGCAGTACAAGTTATTTTTAAAAAAAACATTCATCAGAAATTTAGCCAATGAATAAATTGAATAATTTTAATAGTTGAAGCAGAGTAAAGTCAAAGATTCCACGTATTCAGTTGTCTCATCGTTGATGAATATCATTTAACTTAAAGATGACTGACGTCATCGGCGAGACAACGTCGATGTGTTACATATATGTTCAGAAAATTGACCGGGATGCGAGCGCAGGACAATTGGACTAAATTACATCCAAGCACGCGCCGAGTCTTTGAGAGCTCTTCAAAAAGCAATTGGACCATGTGTATGATTCATTTGATCGACGGTTAACGCTTTAAGAGAACTTGAAAGTCAGAATTTCGTTATTACAATGATTGATTTTAAAAATTCCATATTCATGATATATGAGAGCAAACAGAAGTTTCATGCACATTCTCTAGTGATTTGTGAGGCAAAAAAGGGTGAGCAAGTGATTACGAGCAATGCCAGAGACTTTATTATGTGCCCGTATATACATATAATATATGTTGAGTAAGCCGCGGGCTAAGTATCTACCTCTACACCATAATGTATGCATCAGCTCATGAGCGAAAGAGAAAGAATTTTCCCTCGCGGCTTCTTACCACCACTTATCGCTGAAATACTTACAATTACGAAAAAAATCTGCTACGCTAAAGGTCCTACAGTGGACCCCTCTTTTATTGTGCTGCGGGCAAACTGCGAATTTTCAAGACCTAATTTCAGCAACAGACACGCAGACTTGATCCTTGCAACATGGCCTGGGGGATGGACATCTGATGATGACTGAGAATATTATTAGGTTGTTGCAAAAATTTTTATGATACTACATTTGAGCATTGCAGCACCTTTGGAATTTATTGATTCCATACGACTTAATATGAATTATTATTGTCCACAATTTGCCATAAAGTGACTGGTTGTATTGAAATCCAGTGATCTCTGTCTGATTTTCAAGGCTATTTTCGAATACTCGTTCTTGTAGAGCTCCAATATTAATAGATTTTAAAAGCTTATTTATTCCATGACTTAAAGTGTCTTTAGTCAAATTGTGATTGATTATGTTTGACATTGATGATGTTGATTAAAATATTTATCAACTACTTATTATAACTCATAGTACTATTGACAAATATTTTTTGATGGTCTTTAAGAAGATTAACTTTTATTCATCACTGTTGGTCAATTTTATCTGATGAAGAAATCAAAAATAAGCAAAGATTTACAGCTAAATCCTCAAGACACAAACAGTGTTTATGAGTAAATTAAGTTTGTACGGTTGATCGATGAACTCAAAAATTGAAAATTAAATTTTCTGCTCTGATTTGCTGGGGAATAGTTGAAGTAAAAAAGTTCCCACACTGGTGAAATAAGCAAATAATAAATCTAGGATAGAAAAAATAAACCTACACATAAGAAACACTGAAGAAAGAATAAATACAAAATTTCTACAGATATAACGATATAACTTCTGAGATTGAAAATGCTTGAGAATGACCTCGGATTGCTGCTGAAACCAAGCGAAATGATTGAATCAATTAGCATTTCTCGCTACAGTCAATATCACATCGTCTGAATCGTGTGGCCAGTTTGATTCCCAGGATGAGCTTCACTGATAAAACAAACCTACAAAGGGGCTGCCAAGAATTGAAGGTACTTCATACTTATGTTGATGAAGAATAGAACTTAATTAATGTATTATTATATTACATGATGCCCATATAACCGCTTTAATTCTGTAATATTCATGAATTTTTATAAAGTCTGGTTTACTTTACTTCATATCCTCATTAAAGTATTAAAGCCATTAACTTACGCTTCTGTAGAGAAGGTTTCTTTGTTTATGTAACCTGGAGTGCATTCAGGTGGGTTTTCATCATACTGAGATATCCCAAGTAGCTTCATTGCTTCTCTATATTGATCCAGAGTAATTGCATCTGATTGGCCTTGATCAAAGCTTGAAAAAATACCATTGATGTGCCTGAAATTGATAATTAAATTTTATTTTATGTATTAAAATAATTGAAGTATTAATTATCATTTATTTAAATATATTATTACAGATAATAACAGGTTAATTGTGTAAAAAGTACGGAGGTTGATTGAATTATTATTAAAACTTTAATTGGTTTATTTAATTATGCAAACTCGTTTTGATTATCGAAAGTGTTTTTAAATAAATATATCATAGTAATAAATAAACTATTTTCAATTATAAAACTTGTAGAATTAATGAGAAATTTTTCCAAGAAAAAAGAAGAGAGATTTATATAATCAATTGGCTATTTGGTAATCAAAATATCGTTTGAGAGAAAAAAAAATATTCTGTAGGTACGTGGAGCTTGGTAGGGAAAGGTCTGGCGATGCTTGAAAGAAGGAATAGGGACACAGGTTGAAGAGCAGAGAGACAATTTGTTGGCGAACCCTTTGATTATAGGTGCAGATTTAAAGCAAGGACCAATAACAAGATGTGGATCTGAACAACAGCTGATTTATTATCATTATTACGGTTTCTCTGTCCGTCAGTAAATATCTTATTCAATTTTATTTCATAAAAATAATTTTATTATGTTTTATTTTGACTTGAAAAAATTATCAAGTAAACTTGATCATGATTGTTGGTGCTTTGAAAGGTTTTTGCTTACAGCCATTACCAAGCAAAGAGAAATATTCAACTTCAGATCGCGTAATCCGTAAAACGAGCAAAGAGAAGCTCGCAACAAGACTAAATGACCGGCGGCTAAGTTTCAAATTATTGGCCAACTCCACCGTGACTTTGCCACTCCACAGTGGGTCTTCGTAGTAATTTCTTCAATTCCATTCGTCACGAGTCTGTGGGATTTTATTGCCGAGCCACAAAATGAAATTCCGTGAGCTCGGTGACGAAGTGTGCCTGTGTTTATACTAATAATCAACGTTCACTAACAACAAATGAGAAATAATTATAATGAATTATACCACAATCTTGAAAATGTGTTGCTCACTAACCCCATCATTGGTAATAAATAAAATAGTAATTTTACGGAAAGAAACAGATAAATTATTTTACCTGTCAGTGAAAATAAGCGGTGGATTTCCAAGACCATGTTTGAAGAACATACATTTCTCAAGCAGATCTCCAAGATACTCAATAGGGTCATCAGGCTCATCAACCAATAAATGGGAGATTAAAAAGTTTGTCAGCTCATAAATTTTGCGTTTTCTTAAGTAGTCTTCGGCTTGCTGATGAGCATTAGAAGTAAGCTGGAAAAAAAACAAAATTAAATTCAGTTTGATTTATTTACAAATTAAATTTTGTTTTTATATTTTCATGCTTCAAATTGTAACATAAATTATATTTTTTTATTTTCTGCTAATGCGGGTTATAAATATGTGCTCTTAAAAAAATTATTGTTTTCCTAGTATTGTAATTGTATTTTCTAAAGATAAGTGACAAAGAAAAATGTCTTCTTCATTACACAATACTTGTCCCTTATAATAAACTCTATATATCTTTCTAAATAACGATGTGAGTCATTTACATCATACAAAAAATTCTAGGAGCTATGTAATCAATTTATACCAACATCTAAAAATGATATTTAATTTTCATTCTTTGCTAACAAATAAAAATTTTAGTCACTAGTATTTCTGATCTTACTCAATTCTACATATTTCTGAACGAGTAACAAAAAATTGGTAATAAAAATCCAATAAGTGACCGGTGCATTATCTTAATGGTGGTTCAGGTGGAATGCAAAAAAACAAAAAGAATGGAAAGTAATACGATTGCGTGCAGTGCATTAGCTGGTTGTTGTAGTCTGGTATTTGAAAAATGCACTGATTTAAAGCTACACTTTTCCTTAATTTCAAGAAATACTAATAACAGTTTTGGTGTCGTGATCCATTGAATGAACGGTAAATGAGAGTGAAGAATGGAAACAAAGGAAAAAATAAGATTCATAGCTCCAAAATAGCAGTTAGCCTGGAGCACTTTGCGGGGGCTGTATAAATTACGTTTAAACGTTCTGAATTCTTGAAAAATGAGGCTGATTCATCGAAGATCGGGATAATCACAGCAGAAACTGACGACCTTCTCTTGATGGGAGTGGATAATGGCGGGGGTGCCGGAGGCTTAGCTTGGAGGACTAAGAATTTATCTATCGACATTCTTTTGAGGCTCCAAAGGTGTCTTCTTTGATGCTTTCTCACTTGCTCTCTACCGCAGAACAAGTGTGCGACCGGGTCTTCTAAAATTCTTACAAGCATCTTCCGTGTTCCAGCATCACCTTAAGAGTCATTACTCTCCTATTTAGTAGTGGTTATCCAGAGGAGAAACCTCGATCATCGAATGAATAATGTTTACTGTAGCTACGCGAATGGATGACGCTGGTTAGGGGAACATTCGAATATCTTCTTGCTAAGTAATGTGCCTTGAAGCATGGAATCGTTGAGGGTCGTAGGCTTCTTGGATTGTTAGTACCGTAATGTCTCTCATCAACTGCTTACACCAAGTACCGTGGGTATATGTTACGTATAACACACGGTGCTTCCTTCTCCTCCCTGAGAGTTTTTTAAGTGAAGAACGAGGTATATGTGTACTCTATGATTAGCAGACAGCATTGCTTAAGCATCACACTACTCTTTTATTATCTCTGCGAAATAATAGCACCCACGAAAGCAAGATGATCGATAGCTGCTTGGTGAAATATTGCTTAAGAAAAAAAGGGAAAGTTTATGGTGGTTTATGTAAAGATATGATCATCAAGTTCATTATTTTTTAATGCATTAAAATTATTATAAAAAAGAGTTGAAAAGTAATTTGATTTTCTCACTTGGATAAATAAAAGTAAACTTTTAGTTTAATTATTTCCCTTGAACAAAAAAGTCCATAAAAATAGATTGAATAATTAATTGTTTTTACTTCATCAGCTTTTAAAACGCAATATATTTTTTTGTGACCTTCACTAAATCTTCAACTTGTTTTTAACAAAGACTTGGTGATATTTGACCAGAAGCTGTGTCAAATGGAGGGATATTCAGAAAACTTTTATCCCAAATAATGTATGATGCTTCTGAATGTTAGCTAAAGCTTGATGCGTATGATGTAGAGGACGTACCCTTGGTTTGCAAAGTCGAGGGTCACATGGAGGGACTTTGGCCACGTGTCATCCACGCGAGAGGGGCAAGTCCCCATGTATGAACTCGACAGGAGTCGGATATGACGCTCACAGACCGTGGGAAATGATTGTTATATAGTCTGCTATCAAGAGATATAAACTTGTGCGCCCTGGCGTGACGTTTCAAAGACCTTCGAATGGTGTTTTATGCTCGATGCTTACAGATTGTCATGCTCCAGTGTTTTTAAAATCTTAAGAGGGACATCAATTAGGGTTAAGAAAATGTTGAGAAGTAATTAGAGACACTTTAGACGAGATAAAATATTTTCAAACTCGAGAAAATGTGTTAAATTAATTACATATATTTAATTTTTCTATGAAAACTGATGTATCTCATAAAGAACGGTACTTTTTAAACTATATACCAGCCACGCGGCCACTACCGGGGGGAGTTATTATTAAACGTTACATTAAAACACCATGCACGCGATGGTAACTCCCTTATGATGACGCTCCAAAGTGTCTCGTAAACCTAATGTATTTATGCCTGTGGGAAACTTGGAAGTTTCACAGACTATCATAGTCATAATAAACAAAGAAGGAGGGAAACAGTGTTTGCCCTTTTTCCCTTAGGATCTTATTATTGCTTGTCATAACCTACTTACTGAGTTAGCATAAAAGTGTACTTGAAAAACTCTAGGGTAGTAGCACAGAGTTTGATTAATGTGCTTATTACTTCGGTCTGATGTATATTCAAATTCTTGCGTGGGAGATTGAGAAAAAATCAAGTGCCACAGGCTTTTAAATAGCAAAAAAGTCACTAACTTTTTTATTTTAGAATACTACTTCGTGTTTAGGAAAAAATTAAAATTCAACTAAATATAATTTTTATTCATGAAGACTAGCATATTTATGATAAAGAAAATTATATAATGCTTTTTATGAGACAAATTTTTTACTGATTTAAAAATTTATTTTTCTGTCAAAATAAGTAATTAGAGGTATAGATGTATTTCTAAACTGTCAATTAAATTAATGCTTTAGTTGTTGAAAAATATTTTTCCAGTAAAAACTATTAGAAAGATATATTTCTTACTTTGGAAGAAGAATTACTTTTAATAACCTGGCTGGTCTCACTTGAATTCAAAGAGTGTTTCAATACACTCGGAGAGTCTTCCATGCAATTTGGAGCCTCAGGCGGTGCTTTTGACTTGTCCTGGCCGCTAACTTCCTGGCCACTCATTATATTCCTTTCTATTGACCACGAGGGGTTACCGAGGTTCAGCCTTTTCACGTTTTCAATAAAAAGACAAAACACTGTATTTGTTTGCGGCATTTGTTTTGTGGATTTAACACAAAAATCCGTGTTAGACGGAAGGATTTTGCATTAGTGCTGAAAGAAAGTATTAGTCTTTCTAGTAAGGAGATGAAATAAATGCTTGGTATTTTACTCTTTTTTTTTTTAAATCTCGCTTGGACCCTGCTTCCAACATCCGAACCGGTCGACTCCCGCTTGTCCTCCATCTTCGGCTGATCAAGAGCAAAGAAATGCAATCCTGAACGTTGCCAAGATTTTCCAAGAAACCTTTCCAACCCTTCTTATACGTCCTTAAAAGGTCCATGCCTTCCTTGCCAAGTGGACTTGAAGGTCTCAAGCCGTCTAGGGCCAATGATGAGCTTTTAAAAAAACACTTGCGTACGATTGGAGTAAAAAATCTTGCACAATCTGCTGCATAAAATCATCTGTAGCTTGTTATTTGCAAAGCAGAGAAGGGTAATCATTTATTTTTGTTGATATTATGTGAAGAATTTTTTTCTGTATTAAATAATAAAATTTATAAATAGAACAGCTAATCAATATCCAGCATCAATGAGTACTTTGCAATCTTTTTATCAAAAGGGAAAAAAAAAGTGTTATAAATTTACTATGCACCGGAAACGGTTTAATTATTCCTTTTGATCTTAGCATAAAAAGGTATTTCTTGATAGGAAAATAAGATTCTTGATAAAAATATCATTGATAACTGTGCAAATCATCACCAGCATGATCGTTATCCTAAAAAAGGACCAACAGAAAACGGTACATAATCAAGGTGATTATTTTTTTCATGCTTGGATACTGTGAATAGAAGTCAGAGACCAGAGGGCCGATTGTAGGAACTCAAGAGAAATAAATGAATAAGAAATATATACGCCCTATATGCTACAGAGAATAAAGTAGAAAAGAAATAAAACAGAGCGGCAGAGGACGATCGAGATTCGAAAGTCGATGTGGCTGATACTTGAACCGATAAATCAGACGCGCGCGTGCGACACACCGAAGGTTACTTCTTCCATCCTTAGCGAGTGTGTGCACGAGCGAAAATGGTGAGTCAATGTCCAAGCTGGAAGAGAGAGAAAGCATAAATATTAATGTCGATGCGTTGACAAAGAATAAAATACCGCCTCTTTACTATCTTTGTTGCTTGGCTTTGCTTTTCTTTTTTTTTTTGCTTCATGACTTTTATGGAAATGCTTCATCTAGTCTGATCACATTCAGGCAGATTGGACATTCCACTGATTACATGAGACATGGATGGTCTGATCAACCGGCTTGCTAAACAGATTTCATGTAATTTAGCGCAATTTTTATGGGAATTAATCTTGGATTTTATACTTGAAGGAGCTTTTTTGCTGATGAAAAATAACCGATAAGAATAATACAGTTAATTGCATTTTTGTAAGAACTGGTTCCAACTTGTTGAAAAAAATGTCACATGTCCTTAACGATTAAAATTAAAAGGAAAAAAAAATATTCCAAATAATTTGACCATTTGTGTTCATGTGTTAACTGATCAACTATTTTACGTAATTTTTTATTACTTCATGACATGAAATATGTTTCTGTATAGGAAATGAGATTTATTTTAATAGAATGTAGACATTGATCTAAGGAATCATAAGTATAGCAGATTATAACCCAACCCTGATGGAAAAATTTCTAGGAAAAATAGTGGATTATCGTTGATAAATTTCAGAATTATTCAGATTAGTTCTAAATAAGCTGATCAAATTATGAGCAAAATGTGAAGGTTTTCAAATGATTCGAAATTTTAATAAGATTACAAATAAAATTCCTATTTTATTATTAAATAAATTTTTTTCTGAATAAGAAATCAAAAATTCTGAATTAAAAAACAAGATTTCTTTTCATAAACCCTAGATCCAACTCTGGATCAGAAAATTCTTCCATCCATCATCGGAAAAATGTGAAAGAAATTCTACGAAGTTGAATTATTATTATGCATTTCTCTTGATGTTGAAGCGAATGCACTCTGAATTCGGGTTGACATCAATCGGTAGTGACTGGATTCCAGGGAGAAATAATTGTCGTTGTCCATGGATCGGTTGTGGTGTAGCCAAGTAATCAAGACAGTGTCATCTGAGCGTTGTTACGCTTGAGAGGAAAGTTTTTTATCCAGTAATGTCAAACTGTTGAGTGCACTCTCGATCTTTGTTGCTATCTCATTTTCTTTCTCTTATCGAGAGTATGTCGTTTGCCTCTTCCATCTCGAAACATAAGTGGCGAGGGAGCACTTTTGTTCTACCGTTATACTTGCCGGCCATAAGAGAGCCAGGGTCATTATCTTTATCAATCTCTGCCTGAATGTTCACCAGCTTCAACATTCGTGACCATTTTTGGCTGAGGACGGGTTTACGGAAGAAGAAGAAGGACCGTATGTATGCGATCTGGTCAAGTAGTCTCCAGTTAGATGATGCTTTACATTTTAACTGACTCGTCCTCGGTGGCTTTTGCTTCTTCTTTCTTTTACAACTGGTTACTTTAACCAGATACTTAAAAGCCGCACGCGCTTCTCGTCGTTGGATATACCATTTTGTTAGCTTTTAATGCTATCAAGACATGGAAATGCAAATATGACTAGTACTTTAGATATTGTAGTTTATTTATGAATCTATTACGTTTATCAAAATGTCAGAAAGAACTTTTTCTATTTTGTCGTAAAAGATTTAATTTAACTTTTAGATTTAAAAATCATAAAAAGATGCTGTAAAGAGATTCTAAAGTAGCCAATGGCCTTGACTGTATCACCAGTACTCACTTAAGTGAATACATATATAGTTTAAAGTGGTCTGATTGACAAAAACCACCCTGGAGTTTAAAGTTTCCATTTTTTATCTTTTATCTTAAGAGTGCTTTCACCATTACTTATATTTCATTATCATCATTAGGGTTTAGGTTCAAATTCCTGACAAAGAAATTACGAAAGTTCTTTATCTTTAAAAGAAAAACCTATTAGTACCAATCCTTACTTTGTTAATACTTTCTAAGTTGTGACTCAGGGCACGACACCTTACCCAATATCTCCACCAATATCTAGACCAGTGTCCCACCTTTCTTTCTTAACAAAATTACCAATGGTGGGGGACTTAAAACCCACTAATCGTGAAAGATGGTTCGGACTTTTTCACGCGTCAGCAGGATATCTGGATAAGTAAGAGACTATGGCCAATGGAAATAAAAGATCTGAGTCATAAATAAAATGAAATTAAATCATTCATGTTGTTTATATATTAATTCTGAAGGTCTCAAATGTTTATTCCTTTCTATTCAAAGTCATTTGATTGTGAAAAAAAAATTATACAGGGGCACAAAATCTCAGCTTGAAACCTGAGTCCTGAGCATACAATCCTGAGAATGCTTTTTCTGTTGCTATGTTATTTTTTACGACTGACCTTACGAGTTTGGAGCGTCGTAGGGGTTCTGGAAAATACACATACCAGGGATGTTAGCTTGTAAGAACATTTCAATATTCTTAGGTACCAAATTAATGGTTTTTTAGTTGATAAAAATATTTCAAGTGTCAAAAGACAGATCATAGAGTTTAGTTTTTATTTTTTTTCTCAAGACTTAATAATAAAAATATTTTTATAAAATTGGATATTTCCTTAGTTTTGGAGTGAAATGAATACTTTTTGAGAAAAAAAAAACGAAAATTGAATTCCTAAAGAATTTTTTTGCTAATGAGTATCTTCATCAGCAAAAGACACCGCTAGAGCATCAAAGTATAGGGGTTAGAACATTCTTGTAAAGAATAAAGGAGCTCCAAAGCAAAAATGATCGTAAAAGAAGGCGCCAATCTTGGCGTTATGACCGGGGTCTCTTGAGTAATGTGGCAATGTTTGGCGAGACGACCCGCAAAACGTGACCAGAAGACCTAAAAATCCAACTTTTCACTTTGTCTTTTGGATGCTGGGTCTTTATTCTCCAGAATGAGTTGAACTTGACGCATTTTTGCGGTTGAAACAAACACTCTCAAATCTTGACTACTCTGATGCGAGGCATCTTAACAAGCAGTTAGATATATAAAACTATAGCCTCATGACGTACAAATCATCTCCTCCTTGATCTTTTTTTTCGTTTCGCTCATTCATTCATCCGGCGTTTTATATACAACCAGTATGAGTATATACACGCGGGTCATTCTCGTACTCCCGCTTTCACATCCGGCGTCCTGAGACGTTATGTTCTTGCGTCACAACACAACTGATGTGTTCACTTTGCAGTCGGCAATATTTTTTAATGTCCCGACACTTGGGGAAAAAATTGGCAGAGAGGGAATTATTGTGATGAGGTCAAAAAACTTAAATTAGACTTTATTTTTTAAGCTCTAGAGATCTAGAGTCATTTAAAATGGTATTTAAAGGGTTTCCAGATGTAAACAGGTGTTATGTTGATGATTAATTAGACCAGCTGGATTTTCAATCAAAAAGTAACCCGGAACTGATAGAGTTTAAGGCAATAAATATTTCATACCAAGACGAGGATCAGATGACACAGAATTTTTTATTATCTTTGATCTTATTCTGCTCCTTATTTGGTAGAATTTTTTAAAACCAGGCCATCACCTAGGGCTATTATACATCAAACTGATATATTACGAAGCATCAGGGGCGATGATATACTTTGATAAGAAAATTGGTCTTTGATTGGTATATAGTTAGTGGACTAGAGTTTTAACAACAATAACGGTATGAGTGCACAAGAGATGATGAAGAAGAGGAAATGTTTGAAAAACAAGCAAGAATTTACCTCCTAGAATCTTCACCGCAGACTCTGCACACGTGTTTCATGGTTCAGATTCTAAGATGCCGGACCTACGTGGACCTTTTTTGCTACCAACGTCATTCTTAAGATGCGAGTAATGCTTTAGTTTCTTCTCTTTAACTCCCTAGACAACATGTTTTTGCTTAACGACTTGGCAAAGACACGAAAATGAGTGTTAAAGAACTCTCAAGATTGTCAAGATTACCAGATTTTTTTTCATTTATTTAACTTTATATTATTTATGTTATTTCTTCA